ACGAAGGAAAGCTCGAGCTTAGTGCGCACAGGACTTGGGGCGCTCTTAGCCAATGAGGAGGCGCCGCTGCGGGAGTGGCCGGAAGGGGAGCGAGCGGGGCGCAAGCGGAGGAGGAGGAGGAGGACTAGGACTTGGCGTTCTGTGGCGCGGCTCCGTTGTAGGTGCTAGTCCAGTGTCGCCCTTTGTCCAGCCGTGCGCTCACGCCCTTGATTCCCGGGGACACGGCGCTGCTTCTCTCCCCTCCCCGCGCACTCGGGGTGCATGTAACCGGGGAGGGGGGCCCTGGAACCGGAAACCACCCCACGAGCGGCCCTTCTTTCTTCCAGCGCCGCCCCCGCCTGTTTCCGTTCTCCTTCCCTTCATTCACTTGTCTTTCGCCCGCCTGCGCGGTCTTCTGTGCTTGCGCCGCAGATCCAGCCTTGCGCAAATCCCGCGTTCTCCCTTCCTTTGCGTTTCTCTTTCAAGACCTCTTGCACATTTGGTTAACGCTGCCGAGTGTTTCCCCTGCATGCCCATTCTGCATTGCTCCCTTCGTCTGCAGGGAACGGCTGCTTCCTAGCGCCTTTCTCGGCTTCCTCAGACTCCTGCAGCTGCAGCAATCCGATCATCTTCATCCCATGTAATCCAGCCCTTGTGCCTCGTAGTGCCAATCTCTTGTCCAAATTTTGGTAGGAAAACAGTTTGTTGGATTTATTTCTTTGTGATCCCTCCATTGTCTCTGTCCTTGTTTGACTAGTAATCATTTAATTCACTTTCCTTTTCTGCTTTGAGCACATACTCTCATTTGTGCTTCTGCATTTATTGCAGCTGGTCCATGTTGCTTTTCGTTTTTACAGGCCTGACAGCAGCATGTCTGAACTAAAAGACTGCCCACTTCAGTTCCATGATTTTAAGTCAGTAGACCATCAAAAGCTGTGCCCCCGCTACACAGCTGTCCTGGCCCGTTCTGAAGATGATGGTATCGGCATTGAAGAACTCGACACCTTGCAGTTGGAGCTTGAAACCCTTTTGTCTTCTGCTAATCGCCGACTTCGGGTATTGGAGACTGAGACGCAGGTCAGACAGTAATCCAGCTGTAACATAGAATGGAAATGCTTTAGCTCATGCCCCCAAGGCCTAGGTTTTAACACATGATTAATAATGTAGGCTTTGTTGCCTAAAAAAGTCAAAGATGTGGCACAACCCATGTGGTCTCCTGCCTACCTTTATTACACAGGTTGGGAATTTGTGGCCCTACAGATGTTACTGGACTTAATCTTTCACCATCCCTCACCATTGGCTCTGCTGGTAAAGAAGGATGGGAGTTGCAGTTCAACAACTTCTGGAAAATTGTGTGTTCTCTATACGTGCTCTAACACTTTTATAGCTTGGTAGGATACTATGAAAGTGTGATGTGCCAAACTTATGTACATTTGGAAAATCAAATGCACAATGGAGGAAAATCTGGGAAGTTGTGGAGTTCCTTAATTTGGCAATTCTGCCAGAGAAGCCTTTTGTCCCTCCCGCTGTAGTGATGTTTGGTCATAATCGTCAGTCATGGATAGATCTATATCTGGTATCTGCCAGGAGAAGAGAAATGCAGTGTGGGAGTCACTGGGGCCAAGGGGGTTACTGTACCAGAACCACACAATTTGGATATCTTTAAACTAAACTGCTTGATTCTTTTCTTCCAGATCCTGACAGACTGGCAAGACAAGAAAGGGGACAGACGATTCATGAAGTTGGGCAAGGAGCATGACTTGAGCATTATTACTATCAAACATAAGACTAAGAAGCAGAAACTGGAAGGGAAAGGTGGTCACAGCACAGGTCCAGGTCCTGGGCGGCCTAAATTTAAGAACATGCAGCCTAAAATCCAAGAGTATGAATTCCCAGATGACCCAATTGATGTGCCCCGTATTCCCAAAAATGATATGCCTAATAGGTATGTGGGAAAGGAGTTTCCCTATTCCACTGACTGACTAACTGACTGACTGACTGAATCGGATTAATACCCTGCTTTTTTTCTTACAAGAACTCATGTTCCTCCCCTGCTCTCAGTCCTGTCCCCGTAACAATAACCCTATGAGGTAGGGTCGGTGAGTGGCCCAAAGTCATCCAGTTGGTTCCATGGCTGAGTGGGGACTAGAACCTAGATCACCTGAGTCCCAGACCCGCACTTTGAACCACTGCACTGTTTCTCTGGGTGTATTAGTGATATTAGTAATAATAATGATGATGATCTTAACAGTACTAATAATAGTATAGAAATGACAGTATCATTAACTTTATTAATAAAAAGACTGTAGTAATGGCAACTCATGTTGAAGAGCACTATGCAGAAATTACTCTGTCTTTTCAGCAATCTTTTATAGTAAGGTTCAGCATCCCATGGCTGTTGGACCACATGCAAATTTGCTCTTTTAATAATGCTTTCTCAGGAAGAATTTCAGATCCTGGCTAAGGGTAATCTATCCCTTCCGCAGCAGCCGGCTGTATAGGCAGGAAAAGGTGGGTGGCAAAGAGAAAGGAAAAATGAATGACCCCACCCACTTTTTGGCTCTAGTTTTGCTTGTCTGTGGTGACCTTGCCCCTCTGGGAATGTGTCCTTTGGCAACAAAAAGTGTTTCCATCTCTCCTTTATGGCCCTGCATGCTAGGCCATTTTCACTGCCTCTGATCTATTTTGGGAGAGGCTACCTCACTCTAACCAGTATACCATCTTAAGATGGGCACCTTTGGAAGCTCCAAGGGTCATTCTTGTTTCCGGACTCATCTCCTACGAACCACCCCACCCACAGTAGTGGCAAAAATCGAGTGTATATTTGCTACAAAGCAACACAGTTGTCAAAATTAGCTACACAGTGCTTTTGACCTTTTGCAGTTCTAAGAAAGGCTCAGACCAAAACACATCTGCAGCAGCCAAGGAAGAGACACAGAGCAGGGAGTTAGAGAGCGCCCCGTAGCCACTGGGGGTGCCACTTTATCCTTGATGAATGTGAAGGTTGGCAAGGGTAGCATGCTGCCCACGGGCCATGTGTTGCTTTCCCCTGATCGAGGGGCTTTTTAAGGGCATGTTTATCCAAGCACTTCTTTCAGTCTAATACATTAATTTCTATTCTCATTAAAAGGAAAGAATAATAGGAGGGTGCAGGAATAAATGCATCTCTTTAAAGAGCAAGAGCTCATTCTTAAAATTCTTGTCTTTGAGGATGTTAATTAGAGCTAGACCCTTACTGCTTTTCTTTGCCATCGCAAAAGGAAAAGCTAGGGAGGCAATTAGTCCCCTCTGGCAGTGTCAACCAATAGTGCTGTGATTCACAGTGACTGTATGTGTTACAAAAATCTAAGTAGAGGAAACTTAATCATTCTAAGATGTTCTTTTCCTATGTATGAAGTTTGGAGAGCGAATTCGTTGTAAGCAATTAGGCAAAAACACAGCAGGAAAGAACTGTTGTCTGCTGCCAAGGCTGACTGCCTTGTCTAAACAACACCAGGCAGTTACTCCTACTCTTTGTGTTAGTCAGCATTTCCCAAGCTGGAGCCTCTAGATGCATTGGACTATAATTCGCATCGTCTCTGGCCAGCATGGCTGCTAAAGGGTCTAGTTTTTCAGCACCTCTGGTGGGTATCAGACTGAGGAAGACTAGCACAGGATCAGTGCCAGTGCACGTTCCCTTCATCCTGGCCTCTTGGTATGCTCTCTGTATTTTGATAGCTCTCATGCTGTGCTCCCCTGTTGCTTGGGCTGGTCAAGCTGCCCGAGTTGCCATTTGGGATGTTTCTCAGTGTTTGCTTTGTGTGCTTCCTTTGCAGGTTCTGGGCCTCTGTAGAACCATATTGTGCTGACGTCACCAGTGAGGAGGTGCGTACGTTAGAAGAGCTGCTGAAACCTCCTGAAGATGAAGCTGAACATTACAAGGTGAAGTACACTTCAGGAGAGGGTGGCTTGTTTATTCTGCCAGGCTGTCCTGTTCCTGCCATTTAGCCCTTTCGTCAAATGGCTATGTTAGTCCACCGGACTTAGGAAAGACTGTGCTGGGTCACATGTTGCCTTTGGGACTAAATGGTCATTAGGGTGATGGTGGCAGAACGTATCTGGGCTCCTGGGCTCCAGATTCTTAAAGTGTGTTGACCTTTGACCGTGGTTCTGATCAGTTTTTAATCCTGGGGTTTTAATTGAATCACAAAGTAGATTCTGCAAGTCTGAAGCCTACACCTCTGCTGTAAGGATAGGCCGTACAGCAGGGGTAAGTAGCTGACACTGCACCCAGGTAATTCATACCCTTTACCGAGGGAAACTGAATACTATTCTGAGTCCTGGAAATGGTCAAGGAACTATGCAGTTTGCCTTGATACTGGAAATCTTGCTCAGATTCTGGTCTGGGCTTTTAAGTTTTCAGCACACTGTATTTTTTTTATTCATTGCTGGAAGCTTTATTTTAAGTGAAAGCTAAGAGTCTTAGAGAGCTTCTGTGCCCAGTAACAGATACTCACCTGCAAACAGATGACCCAAGATTAGTCATAGCTGTTGAAATGCACAAAGGATGGGTTTCTTTAAGATATTTTCTACATTTGCATTCAGCATGTGATATGATGCTTTTAGCAAGTTGAAAATTGGGATAGCCACAACATTACCTGGCAAAGATAGGTAATACATTGACTTGCTTCCGCAAGGTGCACCTGTGTTCCATTTGAGCCTAGGCATCTTTCCCTTTTTATACAGCTCTCTTTCTGCTTGAGAAAGCAGCTCCTGCCACAGAACATATAGAATGATTGTCCTGAGTGCAAAGCAGATATGTTCTGGGTCTTCCTTTTCTTTCTCTGTTATCTTTGCATTTGGTACCTGATTAGATGGGGTGGAAGCATCACAAAAGGCGGGAAAAGAAGGATGCATTCCACATGCAGAGGGTTAGATCACTCATGAGACTAGGCAACGTGGATTGTAATTAGTTGAAACAGGATGCAGAGACTCAGCAGGAGAGGGAGGAAGAAACAGAGTTAACATGGAAAAGTCACCTCGTAGCTGCGGTAAACCGCCAGGCCTTGATCAGGAGCAAGGTGAAGTTGGGCTTTTTGCCGGGCCCTCACCTTTCTAGCCTCTCGGCCGAGACTTGTTTAATGTCTTGTTGACCTGCTCTTATAGATCCCACCCCTGGGGAAACACTACTCCCAGCGCTGGGCCCAGGAGGACATGCTAGAAGAGCAGAAGGATGGGGCTCGGGCTGCAGCTACTGCTGATAAGAAGAAAGGCATCTTGGGGCCACTGACAGAGCTGGACACTAAAGGTATCTGGAGCTTCTCATTCTGAGCAGAAAAGTGCACCATCTGTTTCAGAGTGGTCTGTGGTTTGCATAACCAAGCACATGTGCTAGAAATGAGGCTGTGGCTTGTTCAGTGATTCTTGGGTGAAAAGCTTTAGGGCTTGAGAGTAAAATTGGCTGGCAGGACTGTTGGGTTTGTTCTCTGCTTGATGGACTGTTTGTCTAGCTCAGTATAAGGCATGCGCCTAACAACACAGCAGGAGTTTGTGGTGTGATGGGGATTCTGAACTATCCTGCTGCAGCACGGGTGTGCATGCCCAGCTTTCTGTGTGGTATTCCTCATGGTTTGCCTATGGCACTGCAAGCCATCCAGCCCACATCTCAGCTTCTCTCCTTTCCAGACGTGGATGCTTTGCTGAAAAAGTCAGAGTCCCAGCATGAGCAACCTGAGGACGGCTGTCCCTTTGGACCTCTGACACAGCGTCTCTTGCAGGCACTTGTAGAGGTAAGTGGAGAAGCATGGCTGTTTTCTGGCTTCAGCAAGCCCTGATTTATTGGGGAAGAGAGGGGCACAGGCTGAGACCCGCTACGCCTCTTCTCTCTGTAGGAGAACATCATCTCGCCCATCGAAGATTCGCCTATTCCTGAGATAGCAAGCAAGGATTGCACAGCTGATGGTGCCAGCACTTCTCCCCGCAGCCAGAACAAGCCCTTCAGGTGAGCGTGGATGTTGGCTTAGTTTCCGTGGAAGCATTTACTCTTTGTTTAAACTCTTCCTCCTCTCCCGATTTTGGACCTTTTAGAGGTAGGCAACCATTTTAAAAATTGTGCGATGCAGGACCCAAACTTTGAAAAATAAAATCGAGGCTAAAAACCTAGCCACATTAAACAGCACAGATAGCAAAGTATTTGGTACTGGTGCTGCTGCTGCTAAGCTCCTCCTCCTCCTCCAAGCCTGGAAGATCGGGATCTTTTTAACCTGATAGCCTAGTACTCTTCCTAGTAGGTGGGTGTGTCAAGGGAGGGATTCCTTGGAGAGGTTGCTGATGCCATTTCCCGAGTGGCCCACAACACAGCAAAGGGCTCACCTGTCCCATCGCAGCTGCCTCCTTGAAGTGGCTGTCAGTGACGAGCTCCACAGGTACGAGGACAACCTACGAGTGCAGCCTTTGCTCCGGGTGGCAGGGAGCAGGTAGTACCTTTCCTTGTTCCTTGTAAGAGGAGGGGGTTTCTCCTTCCCCTCCCTCTCTTTAGACTTCCCCCCTCTTTAAACACTTGTATATATCTGCAGTGCAATTTTGATGGGTTTCCATAATCTGTGTCATTATTCTTTTTCTTAAAAAATAAAAAAAGCCTGAAACTGCACTTTAGCACAGAATTGTGAATTTTTAGAACAAAGACGACAGTTGTCAAGAAGCTGATGCGTAATTGCTTGTCCAAATGAGGGATCGAAATGCTGCTGCTCCCTTATGAGCTTCACTGTTTTAAACGTACCAGGGAGGCCCTTCTCTCTGTCCTTTTTGCCTTTGGAGGCCCATTTGGTCAGAGCCCCAGGAGGCCTCAGTGGCTGCTCCTGAGCTTTGGAACTTCTGTGGTCAGGCTAGCTTGGTGTCCTTCCAGCAGGCAAAAATGTTCAAGTAGGTCTTTGGCTTGTAGCTGGTCACTTGTTAATGTGGGTTTTATTGGGCTGGGTGCTGTTTTTGTTTCATTTTGTTCGGGGTGTTAATTGCCTTTATTAGTTTTATGACTGCTTTAATTTTATTTTAATTTCCATTGTATTACAGTTAGCTGGCTTGAGTGCCTTGTTTGTTTGTTTTGTTTTTAGTGGAAAGTCAGCAAAACCAAATAAAATTCAGTACTCTTTCCACCAGATCATGCTGGCTGTGATGATGCATTTAATTTCAGACTGAGTGGGTCTGGTTACCAACCTGGAATAGCTGTTCTCCTCTCTCCCCTTGCAGTGTGCCTCACACCAAGTCTCTGGAAGGTCGCATCAAAGAAGAGCTGATTGCTCAAGGTCTGCTAGAGTCAGAGGACCGACCTGCTGAGGACTCGGAGGATGAAGTATTAGCTGAGCTGAGAAAGAGGCAGGCGGAACTGAAAGCTCTGAGCACCCACAACCGAGCCAGAAAAGTTGAGCTGCTCAGGTGAGGTGGAGGAGGAGGGTCAGACAACCAGCACCCCTTTGCCTTTGAGATGCTGGGGAGTGTGCTATACTTTTTTTTTTTACGGAGTTCCTTTGAGCAGGGGAACCAAATGAAGGGTTGGCCTCGGGAGCCCCGTGTGGCTTGAAGCTTCTGTTTCACTAGGCTTGTTCCCTTCACAGGCTGGCCAAGGAGGAGTTGCATAGGCAGGAGCTGCGGCAGCGTGTGCGCATGGCAGACAATGAGGTTATGGATGCCTTCCGCAAGATAATGGCAGCCCGCCAGAAGAAGCGCACCCCGACAAAGAAAGAGAAAGACCAAGCCTGGAAGAGCCTTAAGGAGCGCGAGAGCATCCTCAAACTGCTTGATGGCTAATGCAGGGGGTCGAATGCCAACCGCTTGGCCAGGCCCCCCCGATTCAGTCGCCGGAGATGCCCCAGTTTAAGGGCCGTGCCAGCAGAAAATGCAAGACTGCAGCAGCTCCTCCCAGCATCCTGCCTGGCCATGTTGTAGCCGGGGATCCAGGCAGGCCAGCGGCTGGCAGCTTGCTAGGGTTTCCTGTGTGGTTGTGAGCATTGTCACCTGGATGGGAGTCTGGATCGCTAAAGATGGCAGTCTCTTCCATGTCATTTGTAGAAGAAGATTGCCATAGGAGGCTCTTGAGGGCTGCTTTTTCAGTGGTCCTTTGCTTCATGGTGAACTATCAGCGGCTACAGGGAAGATGAATTTTGTAGGTGGGAGCAAAATTCCCCCAAAGCACTTGAATGATGCACACTTGGGAGCAGTCGGCTGACCCCTTTTCGCTGCACCTGGTGCATTCCACCAGCTTCTGGGGTGAGGGCTGTTAAAAAAACTGAGCTGCCAGTGAAGCTCTGAAACCTGGAAACCAGCCCTCTCCTATACATGATTTAAGTAGGTGTTTGCAGTACCCAGCTTTGAACAGTAGAGGGAACTATAGCTCCTGCTGGGTTATGGTTGAACTTTTCCATGGTTAGCATGTCAGTCAAATGAGCGATGGCCCAAACCTTTTGAGGCTGCAGAGAGCTGCGTTGTAGGTCAGAATTGTTTTTGAGTCTCTGGTGGCCTCGTCTGTTTCCTGTTCTGCTCAGCCCCTTCCTTGGCAGTGGTAACGATGAGTGATGTGTGTTCTCTTCTGCCTGCCCGTAGTACGTAGGAAGGACTTGGCCTCTGTGGAGCTGAGTGGAGGAGTGCTACTGGATTTTTGAGGCAGAAGGCCAAGCTGAAGGATACATGCAGCACTTCAGGTACCAGGAGAGTCAGGAAGGTGAAGATGGGGCATTTGGTGGGTTCAAAGGTGGGACCAAGTAGTCTTGACTCGCCTGGGCCTCACAGCTGAAGCAGCAACAGAATTGGAGGGGGGGTGGTTATAGACCGTAGTGAGGATCACAGCTGTGGCTGCTATGGGAGAAGCACTCGCTGTTCTTTCAGAGTCTATATTTTGCTCGGGGGGGGGGGCACTCTTGAGAAACAAAAACAAGAATACTACCTGAGACCAGAGAGAGTGATCAGGGAAGAAGCAAAGCAGCTAATGCTTGCTTATCTTTTTTACGGAAGGCATCACTGACCCTCCTGGGCATTTTCTCCGATCTGCCGGGAAGGTGAAATAGAGCTGTGGTCAGCTGCGTGGCCAGAGGCTGTTTCCTTCCTGCCGAGCTTTTTGTTTGCAGAGTCCTGCCCTGCTGCCTACGGATCTGGTCCACCAAATGAAAGGCCTGGGGTGGGGGTATGGAGGAGAATGGACTGGCATGGGCTGCTTTCCTCTTGGGTGCAGTTGCAAATCACAGCCCAGGAGCCTGCTGCTTGTCCAGATGCATTTCTGCAGTGCAGTCCTGCCTGCTCTGGTGTTCCCTGTCTAGCTTCAGCTACTTGCCTCAAGCTCCCGGTGCACCATTTGCTGTTCCAGGATGAGCTCAGTTGCCCCCTTACCCGGTGCTTCCATCAGGGTCCCATACAGCATGCGTGGAAGGTGGGACCCAAACAAGGCTGCCACATTTATCACAGATACGTTGTTTTCCAGCCTACCGTTTTCTTCCACTACCAACTCCAAGGTTTGATTCCTTCTTAGCAAGCGTCTTTTGAAATGTATGATGTCCGTCCTTGAACTCCGCTTGTGGGCCCTTTTCCTCCCTTGACTACCAGTGTGTTTCAAGGCTGTTCTGGGAAATTTCAAGCATTGTGGTATATAAATGTGTGAGATAGCTTTGGAAACAGCCTAAAAGCAGAAGTTGGAGGTAGGAAGTGGGGAGCTGAAGCGGAAGAGCTCGCACTTGAGGCAGGGTTAAGTGAATTCTTCACATGCTGTGCTCTGCCACCGTTTGTGTCAGCGTGGGCCTTCACTCGAATTCTTCCAGAGTGTTAATAAATCATTACTACAGGAGTAGCTGGCATCGTGTGCTTTGTTTTTCTAGTCCCGTGAGAAGGACCCAGGAGTATAATAGGGTGGGTTATATAATGAACCATTTTATAAATGTGTGGATAGCATTCCCCCCCCCCCCCCCGACACACACACAACTGATTTAAAAGTAGGGGCTGGGAAAGTGTCCAGGTTTTATTATGTGACTTCCTGCTAAGCAGTTCCTAAGAATTAGAATATTGCAGACATTGTACCATGCAGTGGGTGTGGCAGGGATGGGAATTACGTAGTAGAACAGATTGCCATGAACGATGAAATTAATGTTCATACTGTTACATGCCACATTTATACCCGCTGTTATGCGTAGTGTGTAAGGCAAGAGGAGGAAATCAGAAGGCTATAGTTGGAATAAGGTATTTATAGAGCATAGTCTTTTTTTCCCTAAATCTGTTTGACTTTCCATACCTTTATTTTTGGCTGTGCTACTAGCTTGGGGTGGAATTTTATTGCTCATGCAATCCTACGCAGTTGAAAGGCAACAGGAAAGGGAGTTGGAATCTCTGTGAAGCAGTGCAGTTTGGGTGATATGAGGACCCCATCACAGTGTGCCTATGCCAAATCTGTTCCTGACCTCTCATAGATGTAAAATACCCTGCCCCCCCCCCCCGCAAGTGGTCGTCCTCTGATTGCAAAGTTTGGGAACTTGATTTTTAAATACATAGAACCATGCTTATGTGGGGTCATTGTATGATATGTTCTGTTTTCCAGAATATCATTTGAAACCACCTCCCAGGTTTAAGTTAGTCTTGCTTCATCAAAACCAAGGAGTGTGGGGCTGTTGAATTTGGCCTTGGGAGCAAAATCCTCATTAGTCCCTGGAGCTCAAACAGGCTAGTTATGTCTCAGCCTGACTCCTCACAGGGCAGTTGTGAGGATAAAATGGGTGGGCAGGGGAAGCGCACACACTGCCCAAGCTATTTAGCTGAACCAGCAAGATAAAGTGTAGTTGCTAATAGTGCCAGTATGGCTGATTTGTAGTGTGGTATCCTCTGGACTTTGTAGTTGGGGAGCCGTTCCCTTACAGCAGCCTTGCCAAAGTCTTAGTCCCCTGATGTCAAACTACAAATACATAATTCCTGAACGTACTGGATGGGAGTGATGGGAGTTGAAGTTCCAATGCTGGGGACCAAAGGGAGGCAAAGCTGATTGGAGGGTAGGGGGAATACTGCAGTGATGAAGGAACTAGTGAAGTGAAGAAGGCTTACTTTGAGCCTTGCCCTCTACCCCGAGGAGAGGTGCACCAGTCGGGCCACTGGGTTGCAAAATTGTCCAGATTCCTATGGCTTACCAATGGCCTACAAGCTGCCAAGTTTCTTGCATACTGGACCTCTGGGATGACCTTTGCTTAGTCCAACCGTCAGGGAACTTCTTGCATGTTTAAGAAAATCGTGGCAAGGAAGACTTAAAATAGATTGGTCATGCCTTAACTGTTTAAAAGAGATCCATCCTGTTTATGCATTCTTGCTTTGTAAATTAAACCACAGGAAAAAGCACGTTATCACCTTGGACGGAAAAGCGACCATACAGGATTAAAAGCCACTCTAAAGACTATTTTCAGTGCAGCAACTGCCCCCTTGATTCACTTTTAGTACTTTGTCTGGAAGCTGCATCTGAGCAGGTGCCGAGTGTCTTCGCACGCATTTGCACAGCAACGGCTGATGGGCTTGGAGGGCTGAAATTCTCAAAAAGCAAAAACCTTCGGTAGGGTAAGCCAGAAGAAGCTCTTATTAAAGCCTCGGCCCTCGTGGAAGGACTGGCTGCGGCGGGCTGAGGAGCCGAGAGGGCAGGGTCGGGATCCCCCAGAGGAGCAAGATCCCGCCGTCTCCTGGGGCGCCTGGCTGGGTGCGTGTGTGCGTATTTATGAATGGAGCCGCTCAGCCTTCGACACCCTCGTCTCGAGCCCAGGTTTAATTTTAGTTGAATCCCGTCGCCAGGCTGCGCCCGCCTCCCGAGCAGCGCATTGGCTCCGCTCGGCTCGCGGCCCCGCCCATCGTGGTGACGTCGTGGGGGAGGCTGGAGGGAGAGCAGAGCCCGGGAGGCGGGGGATCGGCGACTCTGCGAGCCCTGCGCGCAAGTGGGCTGCGGGGGGACGCAAGGGCCGTTGCCGCCACCAGCCTACCCGACCCGGGGGATCCGCCGCAATCGCCCTCCACATCCATGTAAGCAAGCGCGAGGCGGGCAGGTTGGGGCGGCAGGAGCACACTGGAGACGGGCGGGTGGCGTTGCCCCGCACCGCCCGATTACAGCGGCGTGGCTCTTTATGTGTCTGCAAGCTTTGCGTGTTTCTTTCGGCCACTGTTGGACACGGGGTGGACGTGTGCCAGCTTTCCTCCAACCTTGGGCTCCTGCAGAGATGCTGGACTACAGCTCTCATCGTCCCCAACCTGGAGTTGTATTCCAGCACTCCGGAGCGTGCCAAGTTGGGGAAGGCGCTATATACTTATGCTTCCAGCTGCCAGACTCTTTCTCTCTGTGTGTGCGCGCACACGCTGGATCGGGCTTGCCAGCCCGTGGTTGCCCATGTGGCTGTGCTTTCCCGACGCTTTTCCTTGCAGCTGGAATGGCACCTGTCTGCACTTGCTTCCGTACGCGCGCCTTTCTCCTGGGGCTGCCTCTCTGCGGCAGGATGCCTGCACATCGCCTCTGTAAGGGTCTTCCTTCCTGGATACCGCTCTGTACCGCTGTCAATCTTGCCTTCCTCCGCACCTGCCCAAGGTCTTTGTGGGAACCAAAGTGAGGTACCTTTCTTTGTATTTCTATCCCTGAGGAGGAGAGGCGGAGTGCAGAATTCACTGGCAATACTGCAATAACAGTCTGCACACTTGTTTTCCTGTAAGCTGATATGCCTAAAGAGGGGCATAAACCTTTATCCTCACTGGCTGCAGTATGTGTTTACCTCCCTGAGAATGCATTCCACCCCTGTGTGTGGGAGAGGGAGAGGGAGAGAATATATATAATAGCGAACATGTGCTTATCCTTGTACCTCTCTTTGCTTGTGTGTTACCTGTAATGTTATCTAATTGTTTTGTAGGTAAGAACCAGTCCTTTGCAGGTCTATCATTGTCTCTTTGTAAATGTACATAGTGTGTTTTTCTGTGTAGCGGCACCCTTCTCACTGCCTCTTTGCCTACTTGTTTGCGCACTGCACATTTTTCTTTCTGATGGTGCAGGTTGCTGGGCAGATGCCTTTATGATTGGCATCACATCAGGCCCTGCTGCCTAACATTCTACCTTTGCACACCTGTTTCTTCCCACCCCCACTTAAAAGGGACACTTCGGTTTTAAGTGTCCCTTTTAAATGTGAATATTTTCTCAATTCTGTTATAACTGTTGCTGCGGAATAATGCATGTTGGGGGAGAGCGATGTGTACTGCAAAAGAGGAAGCTGGGAGCTTTGCTCAAAAACACCAGTCACAAAACTTTTTTGGGGTGGCGGAATCTGGTGGCCAAGGATAACCTCTTTTACTATCAGCACAGGAGCATTCGTCTAGCAAGAGGCTGAGGGGGTTTTCTTTAGTGCTGGAAGGTTCAGACAGATCTCAGTAGCTCCCTTCCACGTGGCTTCCTTCAGAAGCAGCTGGGAAGACCCGCATCTCAGCTTCCTCCAGGCACTTAGACATTCAGGCAAACAGCAGGGCACTTTTCCCATTGTAGGTCCCAGCAGCTCTGCTGTGGCTCCCCATAGCTGTCATGCTGTCTGCATATATTGCGGGATCAGCGACTAGTGTGTGAAAATGGCACTGTGAGGGAAAACACCAGTGGGATGCTCATCATTCTGTTATCTAGCAGTTTACGTCATCGCTGTGTAGCTGTCCTCATGCTGATACATTCTCTCTCTCTCTCCCTGCGCGTGCACAGGTGTGTGTGCATGCGTGTGTACAGCATGTATGTGCTAGTCTGTCCATGCACCTGTGCTGACTTTCCCTTGGTGCCAGTGTCTCTCCACACCAGGATCTGCCTGCTGGTGCTTCTTCCTGGCCTCTCACTTCTGCACATGCTGAGCGAGCTATGCTTCCCTGTGTTGCTTGCCCCTTTATCTGAGTCTTGCCTTTCCCAGGCACTAGAGGTCAGCTGGGCAGTTCCTTGACCTCTCTGGCAATGGGCTGTAATAGGACCTTGGCAGGATGTGGTTAACTGGTGCATCAAGAGCAGAGGCTGTCGCTCCATGTTAATAGTTATTGCCATTCAATCCCCTGCATTTCTAGTTTAAAAACAATAGTCCCAAACAGTAGGATTCTGCTTACGGCTGCTGCTGCTATTGTGAATTGCTGCCAGTCTGGTCAGCTTCTGTATGCAGAGTGCAGAGGGGTCATGCTGAGTGGGGTGATGGGAATTGTCATCTGATGTATCTGGAACATGCCCAGTTGGGAATGGCTATCTTAAACATGAACTGGGTGGAAAGTTCAGTATGCTGGGAATGAGGCAGGTCTGAGAGAATTTGCATCCTGCTCTAACCTGACACTGGGTTGCATTTGGAGAAGCCTTGTCTCCGAACTATGCTACCTACCAGATATCTCAGGGGAGAGGTCATGGCTCAGTGGCAGAGTCCCTACCATGCATGCAGAAGGTTCCAGTTTCAGTTCCTGGCATCACCAAAGACTACTTCCTGAAACCCTGGAGAGCCATCTGCTGTCAGTCAGTGCTGGCAATACTAGGCTGGGTAGACAAATTGTCTGGCATGGTATTAAAGCTGCTCCCATATAGCCAGTTATTATGCATAGGGTACTGGTTGGCCTTCATCTCCTATCTGAAACCTATAGGGCAGGTTTAGGCACGTCATGATAAGGCAAAGCTCACTGAAGAGGTCAATAATGCTTGGAAAAGTCGAAGGCAGGAGAAGACGTCCACTTAGGAGATGGATACATTTCATAAATGAAGTCCTCGACTTGAGGTTACAAGAGATGGCCAGGCTATCAAGAACAGAACACTTTGGAGAGTATTCATTTATTTGGTCATTATAAGTTGGAGACAACTTAATGGCATGACGAAACAGGCAGTTGGCAGCTGGAGATCCTAATCTGGCCTCGTGGTCTTCTGTCTGCTCTCCATGAGCAAAGACGTCTCTCACACGGGCAACACTCTGTTTAGCACCTTCTTCTCCAGTCCACATCACACTAGGGTCTCTTGTTACTACTCACTGTTATGTGTAGTTGAGGTATATGCGGTAGAAGATAGGCAAATAAGCACAACCTGACAACCTACCCCATCAGGAAGCCACAGTGGGTTTGCTGTTGTGCAAACAACCCATGGTGTGCCCAGCAAATGCTCAGGTTCATTGCAGGTTGCTCACCCAGTTCCTCCCTCTCCTCCTCCCTCAGACCACCCATAGGGATCCCAGAAGACGACATGCCCGGACCAATTTGCCTCCTCTTCCCTGCCATGATTGTGAGCCATTTCCCTTTTTTGTTCTGTTCATCCGCTCCCCCTCACCCCCCCCACCAAATCCTGATCTCCAGCTTGACAGCTGGCTTTTGTTATCCCCTCTTTGACAGCCTCTCACAGCCCCATCAAAGTGCCCCGGGGGAAGTGCATTGTGGGAGAACTCAATAGAACCCCAGTTGCTATACGCTCCGGGTAGGAAATTAAACAGCCCTTGCTTAGATCTGTGATTGGGTGAGTCAGTGGACGCTGTGTTATATTCCCCACGTGAAAGCAGCTTGGATGAGCTTCCTCTGAAGAATGCCGATGGGCCCCGTCTGTAGGCATCAAAGTCTGGAGCATTTCCAAGGAGGGAGGGATCTAAGCATTTACATCTGATCCGAGTGTGGCAGTTGAGATGCTAAAACTGGTGCTGTCCCGAGTGGTGGACCGGATGAGGGTGAATAAGTTGAAGCTTAATCCAGACAAGGTGGAGGTGCTATTGGTAGGGCGAACCCTGAGCCGGGCGGGGGGGAGATGCTATTCATCCTCCCCTGCTCCCCTGGACAAGGCTGCACCCCACTAAAGGAAAGACTGTGAAGCCTGGGGGTGTTCCTGAACCTGGAAGTGACATATGTTGCCAGGAGCTCTTTGCATCAGTTCTGGTTGATTTACCAACTGTGTCCCTATCTGGAGAGGCAGAACCTAGCAATGGTAATCTATGCACTGGAATTCTCACATTTGGACCACTGCAATGCACTCTGTGTGGGAATGTCCTTGAAAATGGTCCAGAAACTTCAGTTGGTACAGAACAGGGCAGCTCATCTACTGAAGGGGACAAGCAGATAATGCATGTCAGCCTGTTGCTATATCACTTTCACTGGTTACCGACTGAAATCCAGGCCTAAAGGATATCTAAAGGAGTGTCTTCTCCCATATACACCTGCTTGGACCCTTAGATCATCTATGGAGCTCCTTCTCCATGGGCCATCCCTGAAGGAAGTGAAGAGAATAGTTATGAGGGGAAGGCCTTTTCTGCTGTGGCCCCCTGCTTGTGGAATTAGCCTCCCACCCAGGGAAATATGCCGGGGCCAATGCAATATACGTTCTGGGATCAGTCTGAGACATTTTTATTTTCCCACCATTTTACTTGTTGACTTTCTACTTTTATACTGACTTTTAAATTGTGTGGAACACGTGAAATAGTTATTATTTATGATAGGATTCTGCTTACATAGTGTAGTAGTTTTGCTGTATTTTTGCCTGCAAAAAGATTATTGTACAAAGATGTTTTTATTGAAGGCAACTCTGTTTTAAATTGTTTTAATTGTTGGATTTTGTATGTTTTAATTACATTGTATAAACTGTTTTGAGAGCTTTATACTAATCAAACAGTATATAAATGCTTTAAATAAAAGGGGCTTCTCTCTAATAGACTGCCTGTTCTGTCATGAACCTGCTTGGATATCAAGATCCACAGGATCCTGTGAGGGCACCATTATTTGCTGAGGCCTGTTTGTTGGCCAGATGTGAGAAGGCTTTCTTGTCTGTTGCCCCCCTTGAGGAAATGTGCTCCCCCAAGAATTACATTTGGCCCCGTTCCTTAGTCTTTAGAGAGGGTAGGAAAACTCACCTCAGTTTAGCTTTTTAAAATAAGCAGGTTTAATGTTTTTACTGCCTTTTATTGTTGGGAATTGTTGTACACTGCCTTGATGGCTTTGTAGCAGCAACATATTATATCAATGCTAATAAATTCTCCAGGACCCTCCAAAGACACCTTCAGCAAAGAACAAGGTGGCATTCTCCGTTTGGATGTGCAGAAGCTGACCTGACCGGAGCTTCAGCCGTGGAGTCCGGATGCCATTTTCTCCACTGCTCTTGAGGGAAGCAGTCTAGCTCGGGCAGTGCAGGGCAGACCAAAGGCAGGTGGGCAGGGTGTGGGCAGACCAAACCCACTAGGTCCGGCCACACCTTGCTGCTGCTCCTTGCCTCCAGGATCTACCAGCAATGGCAGCTGCCACCTTTTCCTCCTGACAAGAGGGCAGACCCTGCTGTGTCCCTATTTGTTTAGCCCTGCATTTTCTCTTCCCCCAAGAACTCACCCTGTCATTCCCTCCTCCCAGGTGCTACAGAATATTAACTGCTGAGCGGAGAAAGATTTTCCCTGTTGCTGCTCCCAAATCTTAGGGTGAATTAGCTGCTGAGGACAGGAAAGAGAGAGGGAACAGCAAGCGGTGGTCTTCTCTGGATTAATTTCACTCCTGCCATCCACCATCATGGTGAAAAAGCAGCCAGAGAGTAGGATGTTCTCAAACGAGGGAAAATAGCTGGAAGGGAAAGAGCTGAGCATCTTTGCTCCTTAGCAGCTCCGACCCACAGCCTCCAGTGGTTGCTTTTCACTCAACATTCTGTGTGCACGCACACACGCACACACACAACAGATAGAGGGGGACGGATTTAGATCTGCTCTTTACTGCAGGTGAAACAATGAGCTGATTCTTGCTGTTTTCAAAAAAAATTGGCTGCAGTGTCAATTCAGAGGCTAATCAGGGCTGAAGGTTTCCGTTTCAGGCAGTTCTGGCATGATGACCTGCAATTACATGAACTTGATTTATGTACATCAAACTTGGCCCATCCATGCTTTTCCCACTACACTCCCTGGGAGCCCCTTGTGTATTTATTCCATTTTATGGCTTGGGTTTCAGAGTGGTATTTAGCACCTAGGTGTTTAGGCTGGATAATTCCACCCTGGGCCGCCCGGGCATCATGTTACTCTTTCTTCTGGAGGGGAATGTATCATCCAATGCCATCATTCAAATGTAGGCTGGTTTAAAATGTGCCTGTTCATGACTGAAGGATGGCCTGGAAAGCAGGTATTTCCTCCCAGGTGGAAATAGGAGATGGAGAAAATGTATGCATGCCCATAAACACACTGGATTTGCTTTTAGAATTGCAGACTGTACGCTGCTGCTCTGTCCCACGGGTGCTCATACATGTGTTAGGATGGTTTAGAGGGAGATTATCTCTTCAGACTTTTGGCAGCACCGGTGGAGGTCTGTGTCTGCCTGAAGGGCAGTGGTGTGGTCGAGCCAGGAACTGCAGGGATGCGATGCCGATGCTCATTGCCTCATTATCTGCCCCTCCCTCCGAACTCCGCCTTCCCTCGGAGCTTAGCTGGAGTCCCCACCGTACCTGGGGGTGGGCGATAAACGTTCTGTGAAACAGTTACTCTTGTGGGCAATCCTTGTCGTAATGCCAAAGTATTTTGGGATGGCCTGGTCTTGGGTGGGCAGTTAAGATCCTGTAAGACCTTGCTGCGTGTAGAAACAAAGACTGCTAGAACGGGTTTGTTGAGGTCGATTAGCCCAGCTTTAGTGTTTTGCCCTCTCCTGGAGAAAAGCTTAGGGTTAGGAATGGACATGACGAGTATCTGCACTTCAGCATTTGCCCCTAGACCCCAGCTGAGGACAAGGGAATGGAGCTGAAGCAGTGGTTCCAGTTTTAAGTTCAAGTGACTTCAGCTGGTTTTTGAGTTTAACAAGTAGTCTATATGTTATGCTCTGCAACACTGGGCTGTTCACACAGAGCCAAATCCCCTATTGCAGAAAAGGGATACGGTGCAGATGCCTTGGGATGGGTTACCTGTGCAGAATTAAGTGCACCTAAGTGGGAGTTTTATTTTATTTTTTAGTATGCCTCTGGATAGAAAACAAGTAAGTCAAGTGGAATGGAATGGAAGCTAAGTGCATTTCCTCTTGTCTAACATATCATGGGAAGGGAACATTTGCCATGGGAGAACATTTCTAATATTAATATTAACATCCTGCTTGATAGCTGAAGCCCTCTATTTCCAGGTAAAATAACTATTTCCATCCATTTCTAGGTGGTATCTCTGGGTGGATTGACTGTGGATTAGCTGTGGAAAGGGACAAGGACTGCCGGTGCTTCTTTAAAGAGGGTGGGCACCCTGATTCCATTTTGCTGGGTGAATGGGCGTAGGGCTTGCATTTCCTTTTCCAGGGTGCTTCTGTCATTTTGAGAGATCCTGGCTGCTCACACCGTAGAGACCTGAGCCAAGAGAAACTTTGCTTGTCCTTGCATGACGTTCCTGACTGTAATCTTCCTTTGGGAGGGGGGAGGGCCGAGGGGAACTGCATTATGCAATTGCCATGCAAAGTATATTTTATTATTTTACTTTTAAAGATTAATAATCTGTTTTCAGCCTTGGGCAGAAGGTTTTCAAACAATTCAAAAATAAAGCATTGGAGACAAAAAGAACTCTCTCTCTCTCTCTCTCTCTCTCTCTCTCTCTCTCTCTCTCTCTCTCTCTCTCTCTCTCTCTCACACACACACACACACACACACACACACACACACTCCCCCTTTCTGGAAGCACTCAGAGTACTGGCTGCAGTTTGCAGGGGCAATGAGTCTAGTCCTTAAGGGTAACATATGCAAAAATATGGGCAGGTCTAACCCCTCTAGAGATAGTGGTTAAAGAAGGGAAGGGAGCTGTATTTTCATAGTTTCAGGAGCTACAGCTGTTGCTATGGAGACAACTGTAATGTTACTAAACAGGATAAAGTCTGAGCAATAGCCTTAAGGACACCAAGAGGAAGAGAAGTTGGGAAGAGAGAGGGGCGAGCTCAAGGGAGGCAAAGAATTCCTGAGGCCTGGCTGTGGCGCCCACCTTCAAAGGCTGCCCAGCCCTTGCCCAAGAGCCCTTGCACCTTTGCTTTGATGTCACGGCAGGGTTGCTTTAGCTGGGTGGATGGGCCTCTCTTAGCAGAGGCCACCTGGCAGCCAGGCGCTTAAAGGAGACTTGACAGCAGGGGAACTGACCAGTGCCCTCCAGGTGGTTTTGGTTAGGGTTCTTTGACCATTGGCCACACTGGCTGGGCTGATGGAAGTTGTAATGCAAAGCATCTGGAGGGCACCTGTTTGCCTACCTCTGTGCTCCCACCCAAACTTGGAAGTCTCTTATCAACTAATTTTTAACTAAGTCCTTTAAGAGAAGACAGTGGGCTTGTAGATGCCAGTTTGTTGATGCAGATCAGCTGAATGATATCAGAGCCTTTCACTGAATCATGGAGTCATAGAATTGGAAGGGGTTAGAGGGCCATTGGGTCCAACCCCCTGTTTAGTGCAGCACTTCCAGTTCAACCATTCCTCCCAGATGGCTGTCCATCTGCATTTTGAATACCTCCAGTGTGGGAGAGCCCACAACCTCCCTAGGCTCCATTGTAACACTGCTCTAACAGTCAGGAAATTTTTCCTGATATCTAGCCAGAATCTGGCTTCCTGTAATTTGAGCCCATTGTTTTTCATGTTCCGCCCTCTGGGATGATCAAGAATTGATCCTGGCTTTTCTCTTTGTGACAGCCTTTCAAGTACTTGTAGAATACTATCCACTGGAAGACCAACCAGTAACTCTTGCTTCATATGAATGATTTGAACATGCAGTGCGCCTGCCTTGCCTTGCCTTGCCTTGCCTTGCCTTGCCTTGCCTTGCCTTGCCTTGCCTTGCCTTGCCTTGCCTTCCTTTCTTTTTTGCCTCGTGATGCGCCTCCTTTGCTTTTCTCTTAGGTGGTGTTTCACTGAAGAATGAAGGCACCGTCTTGTCTTCTAGTGGCCTTGTTCTAATGCTGTGTGTCTCTTCTTTCTTATAGGCCCTGAGTTTGCCTTACTTGCCTGCCCCTCTGCTCCAGACCATCTGGGATTGGGCAACCCAGGTCCTAGTCCAGAAAGAACCATGCCCTTAGGAAAGGATGAACACAGTTGGAAGAAACGAGCGGAAGATATTCGAGAAATCTATGAGTTCCGGGAAGTGCTGGGCACGTGAGTCCATGTAGTTGCTCAAGCTACTTGACTGGAGACTGAGCCTGTGAAGCTTGAGTAGGCAGGCTTCTGGGGTCTGCTTTCTCCTCCAGCCATGAACCTCCATTTTCACCATCTAGTTTCGGGTGCAAACCTGAGCATGAGGCGCTCAGGAAGCAAACATACATCGAATAGAATCAAGGAGCAGACACTTAAGGAACACTGATCCGTGGGTCGCCCTCAATCTATATCCTGCAGTCCACATTGCAAATGATCAGAGTATAGAAACCGTACCCCAGGACATCTGGAGGGGGCCCGGGTTGCCCACCATGCAGTCACCTGGAGTTGGCTTGCATTAGGACTGGTCTTGGCGAGTGACCATGCAGGGGAGGCTCATGGGTGCCTTTCAATGTCACCTCATCCCAAGAGGAAGCTCTCTGGAATGTGTGGGCAAAGAGGCAGCCGTAGGGTGGTGGGGATGCAAAGTCCGTGCTGCAGTGACAGGCGAGTCCCTTTTGAGCCTCTCCCTCTTGAGTTGCCAGGCTGTTTCAGGTTAGTGCCAGGACCGGATCGACAGGTGGTGAATATGCTGCGGAAACCTTTGGCTTCAAATATTAGTATAGGGCTCAGTCAATATTGATAGGAGGCTTGGGCTGCTGTTGAAGTATGTGGGCAAACTACAGTATAGGGATGTCAAAACTCTTTCGCCCTGAGGTAAATTGAGAAGCTCTTGAGGGGGACTTATTCCACTGCTGAAAAGGGCTTGAAGGTGAAAGGAACAACACTAGAAATACCACAAAAGCTAGGAATCAGCAAACAGAGAGAAGGGGCCAGATCTGGCCTGCTGGCCTAAGGTTCAACACCACTCTTATAGCAGTCTGCCATTTTGTGGGAGATAATTTATTCCAGGAGAAGGGCTCTGCCCTGGAGGCAATGGGGGCTTTATAGTTGTAGTTCTTTTATAGGTGTCTATCGTTAGCTTCTATATAGCCTGAAGTGCCTGATCCTGCCTAATCTTGGAAGCAAAACAGGGTCAGTCCTGATTGAAATTTGGATGGGAGACCTGAATCCAGCATTGAGCAGTCAGTTGGACCCTATGGCCTGCCAGGCCCCTTCCAACTGTATGATCCCCTGATTCTAGAGTTCTTTTAGCCCATCCTTTGTTTAACTTCCTCCATCAAAAGGAAGTAATCTTTGTGAGCAATGGTAGAATGAATGAAGTGTTCAGGTTGGGGGAGAAAAAATTTGTCCGCCTCCCAGAAGTGCAGTCCTGTCTCTCTCCATGCTCTTTTTCACACACCCTCACCCTTGTATAGTACCATCTTCTAACAAGTTTGTGATCTCATGAAATTAATCCTTTATCTCTATCGTGAGGTCAAGGACTGAATTTTGACCTCTAAGGTAGAGCTAGCTGGCTGATGTCAGAGAAGCCCAGACTGATTTGTTCAGCAAGTGCAGAGAGGCCAGACTGAAGACTGGTTAAGACACTTACACAGGATTAATGTGTTAATTACAGAAAGGATTAGAAGGTGAGAGCATGCAGAGGTCACCACTAACTTCTTGGAGGTTCATCTCCTGGTACTGGGAAGTCCTTCAGATACCCCAGAACCAAAGAGAGGCTCTTCTTTTGTAGGTCCCTGCTCTTCTTGTAGTCTTAGCTGAAGTTATACAACCATATCTAGTTTCCAGTTGATATTCCTGCTGTTGTGAATGGCTGCAAAATTTATCTTGTATACATTTTAGAGCCAAAATGCACATTAGATTTTCCATGCTTGTTAAAAAAACATGTTCAAGCTGGCTGCCATAATTTTGCAGAAAAAGCACACCTTAACATCCCCTAAAATGGATTGCAACCTTTATTTTTTCACCAAGCCACCCCTGCCAGCTGCAATTTGTCACCAAATGTGCAGGGGTCAAAGAGACATGGTGGGAAGGAGCTTTTCGGCAAGAAACCAGTCTGGATCTCTTGCACTGCATCACCATTTTACAGGACTTTTTTCTCGTATAGGCATGTATATCAAACTCTCCATGTCACTTATGTACTCAAGCACACAAAAGATGATGCCATCAACTTGTGGTGCTGTCAGATATTTTGCTGCCTTTGTTGCAACTAGCTAACTCAATAGCCAATCTGGAAGCTCTGAGGTTGCTGCAGGCTTACACCCCCTGTGCGTGCAGGTCTTGGTATCATCTAATCCAGATTATTTATTTCCTGAATAGATGAATACATTTTAGCAACTTTTTTCCCCTAAAGTGCAGGCAGAGTCGGTTAAAGAGCATTAGAATACATGCTTAGTGGAGGTGTGTTGATTCTACGTAGTGGATGTGTATATGAAATGAAGCAATGGCAACTTATTTAAAAAATCAATTGATCAATCTGGAATACATGGGTGTTGCATTACATGGGCAGAATCAGGCCCTGCCCCTAGTGGGTACAAAGAGTTTAGCCAAATCAGACAACAGGTTTTGCAAGCCATCATTCTAGAGCTATAACTTTGTTTCTAACAAAACTGTATGATGGATTCTGTCGGTCCAGACCCAGCCTGGTACCCCACAAGCTTTCTGGACTACAGTTCCTGGTGTTCCAGGCTGTTGGCCATGCTGTCTGGTACAAATGGGAGCTGTAGTCCAAAGCATCTGGATGGGACCAGGGTGGGGAAGGTCAGCTCCTCTGGACCTTCCTCCTGTTTCCCATGGGGGCAGCCAGATGCCTCAGGGAAGAGGGAGAGGCCTATTGCACCTCCAGCCCTACCATCTCTGCATCGCTGTTATGCCTTGTAGCCATGACTAGCCAATGGAGATTCTCTGGTGCACACGAGGGGCTTGCCGGCATGCAGTGCTGAAGAATGAACTGCAGGGCCTATGGGGGGAGGTCCAGATTGGGCCTTAGAGCAGCCGATCTTCCCACAGTCCTCTCCAGCCCTTTAATTGCAGTTTGTCTGCACAGATAACAAACCATTCTTCCTGTTCCAGAGAAGGAGCTTGGGGGAGGGGAGGGAAACCGTATAGCTTTGAACCCATGCCATTTCCCCACCCCCCACCCCTTTTATGATTGATGTAGACTGGACTGAAAAGTCCAAGGATGGTAATCTCAAGAACTGGAGATAAACGGGAGATTAGGAGATTAGGGGGCTTCCTTTGTTGTTTGTTTGCATTCTTATTCTGAGAAAGGTTTGGCTAAGGCCTGCAGAAGAAATGGTACGTGTGCGCAAGGGAAGAGCAGCACTTGGCGATGGGTGCAAGGAGCTCTGCCTTGTGGTGGATGCTTCTCCTCTCCAGGTCCTGCACTGTGCCCAGCCAGGTATCCGCTCCCTCCTGCTGCAGGGCAGGTGATTTCCTCCGCTGACGGGCACCCACTGGAAGCTGGCACAGGCCAGTTGCTGGGGCACCACCTCCCTTGCCTTTCAGATGAGGCCCTCTAATCAGATTGGCCGCGGTGGCAGCTGGGCCACCCTACCTGGAGCAATAGGAGGAGGTAGACTTGGGGGAGAGCCAGCTGCCTGAGACCCAGAGATCGCGTGTCTCAGCCCCAGGAACAAGTGTCAGCGTACGAGTGACTTCAGCAACCGGGGCCAGGGCAGTGAACTCTTCCCTGCCTTCTCAGCTAAGTAATTGTAAACTGCACATTAATAACCGTAAGAAAATTTCCCCCACCTTCTCCTGGTAAACAGCTTAGTTTTCAGGTAAAGAAGGGCAATGATACCAATTAACAACGACCACGTGGAAATCCCATCGAGCATGGGGACTATCCAGGGTGTCGTACTTGGGTGCCACTGACGGCTGCCTGCAAGCTGGACCGGAGCCATGAGGGTGGGTCCACTGCAACGAGTCCCTGGGTATCAGGAAGGAAGTTTATTCCCTTGAAGCCAAAGTTGCTGTCCTGGAGAAGCTAAGACAGGCAGAACGGTTGACAGACAAATCCATGAGGGACCAAACCGTGGTGTCAGAACATCTGAGTGACAGTTTCTGTGCTGTTTTGGAAAACAGGAGTCACAGGGAAGGAGGACCTTCCAAGGAAGAGAGAAATGATCCCTTATGGGAGGTCCATTACTCGGAAAATAAGCAAATATATTCTCATGCTGAGGATGTGCCTCTGCAGGGCAAGTGGCTTGTGGTAACAGGACAGCTGTTCACCTGACACATGGACAGCTGGGTTTGCGATGGGTATGTAGACCACACAGTAAATTGTCTGCCTGGTGCAATGTTGTAGTTATCACACATTGTTTAGATAGGGGTGGAGTAGATAGTTGTGGTCCACATTTATACCAGTGATAAGATAACATAGTTGTGAGGTCTTGAGTGTGAGATTTAGGTTGAACTCAGGGCCTGCCAAGGTGGCCCTCTCTAAAATGCTGCCTTTTTGGCACATGGGCCAGCTAGAAAGCAAAGCTGAGGAGTCTCAATGAATGGAAGAGACAGTGGCACAAGAGTTCAGGTGTGCAAGGCGCTGGGAAACTGAGGACAGGCTCCATGTGAACCAACATGGAACCAGACTGCTGGAGCAAAACATAAAAATGGTGTCAGATCAGCTTTTAAACTGAACCTGGAGGAAAGTGGGAGTTCAGAAGCTTCCAGATTGGGTTAAATTATCCCTGGAAGATGAAGAGGAAAAAGTTTCTGATTGCTCAAATGTAGAAGAGGAGAGAATAAGCTATATGTATATGGTGAAATTTCATAGCTGGTACGTGGCCTAGTTGCCCACACCAGAGTTGTCTGGAGGGGAGGACACCATGCATAGGTGTTCCTATGGAAATGCTAGAAGCTTCCATGCCAAAACAGGAGAATTGGGGTGCCTGGTTTTAAGGGGGAATCTAGATACAGTGGGCATTACAGAAACTTGATGGAATAGAGAGTAAAATAGGATCGTCTCTGGATATAAACTATAGGGAGGACCAGGAAGAACATGTTGGAAGATGTGTTACTTTGTGCAACAAAGAGGGTGTAGTGTCCAGCAGCCGTGAAAACTGAAAAGAGGCAGACTCCTCCACAGAAGCATTGTGGGTGACAACACCTGGCTTCAAACCTTGTGCAGCACTGGGAACATGTTATCCTCCCCAAGGTCAGAATGCTCAGGCTGCTCTTAAGATGGAAAATGAAACTGGGGAGGCCTCCAAATGAGGAAGTGTTGCAGTAATGGGTTACTTCAAGTACTGCCACATTAACTGGACAAATGCATGTTCCAGTTCTGACAAAAAAGTTACATTTCTCAGTGTCCCAAAGGACTGGGTCCTAGAACAGTTGGTCTTAGAACTGACCAGAGGGAAGGAGATCCTCAATTAATCTTGGTGTTGCCCAGCAACTAGTACAAGATGTAATTGTTGTTGTACCAAATGGAAACAGTGACCAGTGAGTGGTATCAGATTTAATATATATTTCAGTGAAAGACTGCCAAAAAGGTGCAACAAAGATTGACTTCAAAAGAGAAAACGTCTCTAAAATTAGGGACTTGGAAAGAAGAATTTGAAAGGGAGAGTCAAGAGGGTTAAAACCCTTCAAAATGCTTGGCGATTACTAAAAACCAGAACAGCAGAAGCTTAAATAGTATGGAACAGGTTAGGAAAGGTAGCACCAAATCCAGGAGGTTATGATCAGTGTGCTGTGTTGAAGGCACTATTGGAGAAAAGAAGGCTTCCTTCATGAAATGGAAGTCTTTCCTAAGTGAGGAATACAGAAAGGAGCACAAGTTTGCACAGGGGAGATATAAGCAGATGAAAGGAGGTGCAAATAAAGCATTTCGAGAGGCACATCACTAACAATATCAGGACCAGCAATGAAGAATTATTTAAATATATCAGAAACAGGAAACCAGCCAGGGAGGCAGCTGGACCATTGGATGATAATGGGGTTAAAGAAATACTGAAGGAGGATGAGGAGATTGTGGAGAAGCTGAATGATTTATTTTTGTTTGTCTTCACTGTGCCAAAAATGGTTTCAGAAAGGGAATCTGAGGAACTGAGGCAAGTAGCGCTGACAAACGATGAAGTCCTCCATGTTATTGCCAAATTGAAAGTTAATAAATTACCAGGCCCAGATCATATCCATCCTAGGGTTCTTAAAGAACTCAACTATGAAATTGCTGACGTTATCAGCCTCAGTACCAGAGAACTGGAAAATGGCTAATATAGCACCAATTTTGAAACAGGAATCCGGAGGTGGGAGAGGATCCAGGAAATTTCAGGCTGGTTAATATAATATCTGTTCCATATAAATTGGCTGAAAACATTATTAAAGGTAAAATTATTTCAAGAAAGCAAGTGTAAAATGATGTATGTTTGTAAAGTAATGTAGCAAAATCCTAATGTCAAGTCTAAGTTAATGGGATCTAAGCTAGAGATCTTGGGGCTGTGGTGGACATCTCAGTGGAACTGTCAGTCCAGTGTGTAGTGACTGTGATAAATGCAAACTCCGTGAAATGTGCCATTAGGGAAGGAATTTAAAATAAGATTGAGAATATCTTACTGCTATTATGCAAATATATGGTGCAACAGCGCTTAGAATACCATGTGCAGTTCTGGTCACAGTATCTGGAACAGGTTGTTGTAGAGTGTGAAAAAGTGCAGAAGAGGACAGCTAACATGGTCAGGGGGATGGAGCAACTCCCTTGGGAGGAAAAGTTACAACAGCTGGGGCTTAGCTTAGAATAAGGTGAGTACGGGGAGACATGATAGAGGTACACAAAATTATGCATGGTGTGTAGAAAGTGGGTGGGGAGACATTTCTCTGCCTCTCTTATAATTCTAAAACCTGGGATCGTCCCATCAAGTTGATTGGTGGGAGATTCAGGGGAGAGTGAAGGAAGTACCTCTTCATCCAGCCCCTAGTTAACTATGGAATTCGCTTCCAGAAGATGTCGTGATGGCCACTGATTTCAATGGCTTTAAGAGGGGACTGAACAAATTCACGGAAGCGGGGGCTATGCGTTGCCTCCAGTGTCAGCAGCAGTGGGCCATTTGGTGGGGAACCTGGGGAGGAGGGTGCCATTACGCATCACTCACATCGTCCTCAGAGGATCCCATGGGCAGCTGGTGGCCGGATGCTAGACTAGATGGACCCTTTGTCTGATCCAGCAAGGCACTTCTGTTCTGATGTTTTGACCTATAGTTCCCATCAGCCCTAGCCAGCATAACCAGGATTGAGGGATCATGGGAGTTGTAGGCCACAAGTTGCTCATCCCTGTCTCACTGTATCTTTCTGTCACTTCCTTGTTCCTCTGCAGAAGCTGGAGGGCTTTGTTAGAATTGGTGTTAATCAGCGGGGTTCTTCAGCTGCACCGCCCTTTTCCTGAGCCGCAGTGGCTGCCCTGCTTCTACCTGTCACAATCCTGCCCATGTGCTGCCCAGGGCGCCCCTCCTTCTCATCCCATTCCTCCTGGCACATTCTCTCCTTCCTGCCTGGTGCCATCTCTCACATGTTCTCCTATAAATAGCTGAGATTCTGCAGGTTGCTGTGGTGACAGTGGCTGGGTGAGAGATCCAGCTGGGTGTTACGGGAGGGGCTGGTGCTGACAGGCTGGCGGGAGGGCAGAGGATGATGGGGACTTGCTTTTGTGCCCTTTGGTTCCTAGACTGGCTGGCCTCGTGCCCTAGTTCAGTTTTGCAGACCTCTGCATATTTGGGATCCTCTGGGACAGTAGCCGAGGGTAGGACACCCTGCTGACTGGGGGGATGGGATTCTGCTCTCTTACTTTCTCTCCCTGCCCCCCAAATCCCCGGTTCTGTTTTCCAGAGGTGCCTTTTCAGAGGTTGTGTTGGCTGAAGAGAAGTCGACCCAGAAGCTGGTGGCCATCAAGTGCATTGCCAAGAAGGTGCTGGAAGGGAAAGAAAGCAGCATTGAGAACGAGATCGCCGTGCTGCACAAGTGGGTGGCCTTCCTCTTTGTCCCCCTCTCTTTCAACCATCCTGAGTCAGAAGAATGGCCACTGCTGGATCAAACCACAGGTCCATCTACCCCAGCAGTAGCCCATTTAATTGCCCGCGATAAGCTCACAAGCAGAGGAAAAGATGCGCGTCTATGGAGTGACCATACTTGGAATACTGTGGACAGTTCCAGTCACTGCACCTAAGAAAGGATATTATAGAACTGGAAAAGTGCAGAAAGAGCAACTAAAAGGTCAGGTGGCTGAAGCAATTCCCCTATGAGGAAAGATTGCAATACCTTAGAAAAAGGGCAGGCAAGGGAGACAGGATAGGGGTGTGCAGATCTATGCAAGTGTGGAGAAAGTGGAAAGGAAGAGATTTTTCTCCCTCTTTCCCAATACTAGGACTTGGGGTCGTCCCATGAAACTGATTGGTGGGGGATTCAGGTAATTCGTATAAAAATTGGTGGGAGATTCAGATTCAGATAAAAGGAAGGACTTCTTCATACGGCACATGGATAAACTATGGAATTCACTTCCAGAAGATGTAGTGATGGCTACCAATTGTGATAGCTATAAAGGGGAACTGGCCAATTCATGGATTACAAGGCTATCAATGGCTACTAGTTCTGATGGCTCCATTCCTCCTCCAGTGTCAGAGGCAGTGTGCCCACCTGCGTGTGCACCAGTTGCCGAGAAACCTGGGAGGGCAGGAGCTGTTGCGCCCCTGTCCCACTTGCAGGCTTCCCACAGGCAGCTGTTTGAAAAGAACGCTGGGCTAAATAGCCCTGTGCACAGGCGGAAGGGGCCCTGACTCATTGCTGCGGCTGTTTCTTGTGCAAGCACGGTACTTTCATTCGATTGTCGACTGCAGTGCCCTTCTATAGCCCAAGAGTAGCTTGCCTATGTGAGTGAAATTTGGTCTGGAAGTTAGAATTCCTAATTTCAGCCTTTTGTTTTTTTTATTGTAAGAGCAATCGAGTTTCCAATGGTTAGAGTTGCACAGGTTGAGAGGAGGCTGTGGAAGTCAGACGAAACCAAAGAACATCCGAGATCACATGGCGAGAAGGGGAGACAAAGTCCTAGGATGTAAACGGTCGTTTTATTCCTGCATATAAAACTTCAGCTACTTTAAAGAGTACTACTCTTTCTCAGTCCTGGGATTTGATCTCCTTCTCACCAGTGCAAGGTCAAGATGTGGGGAGATGGGTTTGAGGGCTGTTAAAATACTGCATGTCCATCTTACCTACATAACTTTCTGAGGAGTACCTAATGCTCCATATCTTGGTTTGTGTGAGTGAAGCTGTGGGCGTACAAACATCAGTATAGCCCATGTGCAGGAGATACCTCCCCTTATATATGCTATATGGGCTACCAGCCTGGACCTATATACACACCCCCCTGTGTGTTTCCACAGCCTTCTGCACCATTCCCATGGATTCATAGTTTCCTCATGCCCATATCTTGACTGGGATAGTGGCCTTTCTGAAAATAGCCCAGGTTGGCACTGCATAATGTCTCCTCGTGCCCAGAGCAAACCACATGACTGTTCCCGTGCCTTTCTCATGCTCAGCAGGAACACTGAATTTGTGTCCTCTAGTGCAAGCACACGACAGGGAAATTCAAGAGAAATAGTTGCTATGTATGGTGTTGCCGCTGTATTGTTGAGGCTGTGCAGCTGTCCCCTTAGTGTTTCCAGCACCCACTTATGAGCTCTGTGAGCGCAGGCTTTGCGGAACAAAGGCAGGTTCTCGCTCAGCCAGTGTCAGTTCCCACAGGCTGGGCAGCTGAAACTGGGAAGTGGAAAGTTCACTCAAAGCAAAAGGAGTGTGCAGATATCCTGAAGGTTGGGGCAACTTGTGGTCCTCCAGATGCATTGTCCTACAACTCCCGTCATCCCGCACCTTTGGCTCTGCTGGCTAGGGCTGATAGGAGTTGTAGGCCAAAGGATCTGCAGGGCCACCTGTTATTCCCTTCTGTTCTACAAGTTAGTGAACGATTGCCCACACATCTTATTCAAGATGGAATCTTACTCCACTTGGATGAGAAAGGAGGGGAGCAGGGAGGTGGAAGGCGATCGCCCCTGCACAACGGCTCCCTGTGCTCTTAACACCAGCACACACGCTGGTTATTAAGGGTGCTTCCAGGCTTAATCTAGGATTGCCATCCATTGACCATTTACCTTGTTCAGAGAATCCAGATTATGTATTGCAACCCCGCGGTGTTTTTCATGTATCTTTCTCAGCTTTGATTTTTTGCAATTCTGAAAAAGAATCAGAATGAAAATGCAACACCAGTCCTTCTATTGAGAATTGGCGAAATGCTATGGAGGCTTTTTCAGGGATGTTGTATTTTTAATTAAAAGCTCCCTGCTTGTACCTTCTCCCTTTATTACTTCCTGTTGAGCACAAACAATGGGGTTACTGATGAATTTTCTTCCTGAATAACATTTCAGTTATTCCACTAATGACAATTTCTGTCCCCATGTGGTAGTGATGGTGGGAAGATCTGAATTACTGGCTTCTTTCTTTATTTCTTCCCACATACCCCCCATCCCTGTTTCTTTTATAGCAGAATAATAGAACAGTGAAGGAAGGCTGAGTGGACTTAGCTTCCTCTTAGTGCCAAAGAAATGATTTACAGCCTTTCCACAATTCCCCACGAATGTTCATATATCCCCTTGGATAGCTTTCTATTGGCTACAGCCATCAACATCAGAAGCTACATAGCTTCCATGGATATGGTGCTTCAGTTTTTATAAAATCATTTTTTACTACTTGAGAAAATGAATCGTGTGTAAGTACTTACAATGCCCCTTTAAAAAGGACAAAAATGTCCCTGATGTCAGTAAATTGGTCTGCATGGGAACTCCCTGCTGATTTTGTTTTTAAAGCTCATGTTATGCTAAAAAAAAAAAAATCTAAGTCACATGAGCAGACTTTGGTGACATGGTTTCTGCCTTCTCTCTGGCCCTTCAGCCCTGTTTCCTCCCAGACTGGGGGTGGGGGTACTCTGGGGGTTCAGGAAAAGGAGAAATCTCTGTGAGAAATTTCCTTTCTGCTGACAAGTGAGCAGTACAGGAGTCAAGCCTATTTCCCCTAATTCTGTGCTTCCTCTCTCCAGCATATAGTAAAAATCAGCATTGTTATGGCTCTTCATATATATTGCCTCCATGATCCATAAAGCAGCCTTTCAGTGTTGGTTTCACTATGTTTCCCCTATTGCAAATTGGAGGGGTGGCAGAAACTTGGAGATAATAGCTTGCTTGAGGGTAGCTGCTTAGTTTAAGACCTGAGGCTGGGGAAGTTTTGGCTCTCACAGTTCTGTCTTAATAGCTGCTGTGTGACACTACATGCCATGGAAGGCTCTCCCTCTCCATTTGCCCAGAAAAGAAACGGGAAGGTTGTTGAACAAATACACCCGTCTTTGAGGCATGCACATCTGAACCCTTTCCTCAGTGAAACTTCCTCTTTTTCCCTGGGCAGGATTAAGCACCCCAACATCGTGGCGCTGGATGACATCTACGAGAGTGGGGGGCATCTCTACCTCATCATGCAGCTGTGAGTAGGGCGATCGGGAACTAGAAGCCCCAACTTTGGGAGAACCACAGTACGGCCTACCATGATGGGCTTCCTGGAAAGCCACTGGGGCCTTTGTGGGTAGAGCTAGACTTGGCTACCGTCATGGCAGTGAAATCTCATTCCTCCCCATATAGGGTCTCAGGAGGGGAACTTTTTGATCGGATCGTGGAGAAGGGGTTTTACACCGAGCGAGATGCCAGCCAGCTCATCCGACAGATCCTCGACGCTGTCAAATACCTTCACGACATGGGCATCGTACACCGTGACCTCAAGGTAAGTGGGCAGCCCTGTGCAGGAACTTCTGCTACTCATAGCTTGTAAGCCATCCTGAGATTTTTGTATAATAGGACAGCTTACAAAAGCGATAGACAGACAGACAGACAGACAGACAGACAGACAGACAGACAGATGACAGATGGATAGTTAGACAGATAGACAGATAGACAGATAGATACCTTCCTTCCTTGCGGGTAGGATGTTCCTTTTCAGGAATGGCTACAGGTTGAATTCTGCACCAGATTCAAAGTGGGAGTGCTAACATTCGAAGTCCTAAACAGCTTGGGACCAGGTTATCTGAAGAAACACCTCTTCCCATATACCTGGCCCTCCTACCTGGACCATGAGGTCATTTTTGATTTTTCTCCAGGATCCCTTCCAAAGGAAATGAGGTGGGTAGCTAGCAGTGGGAGGGCTTTTTCAGTTGTGGCACCCTGGTTGTGGAATGAGCTTCTCAGAGAGGGGTGCCTGGCACCCACTTTGTATTCTTTTTGGCGCCAGATAAAGACCTTTTTATTTTTCCAGCAATTTAATCATGATATATTGCATTTTAATTCTGTACCATTTCTATACTTCTGTGCTGATTCAGTTGCCATTACTATTATGGTTTTGTTCTTATAAATTAATTTTTGTTTGTGTGTGTGTCTTTTTTACTTTTGCTAACTGCCTTGAGAGCCTCTACCACTGGGTGATATAAAAATGAAATAAATAAGAGAGGGGAGGACAACTGCTTTCACTTCAGTTGGCCAGGCAGTAAGAGAGTAAGGTTCTTACCAGCTTGGCACTCTTTGGATCTTTCTGCAAAAGCAGAAAAAGTGCTCCTGTCTGGGAGAAGTTTGGTGGCAGCTGTGACCCAGTTGGTATATTTATAGTTTGATTATTGACCAGTGATTATTTTGTGGTATTTTGTTGCATATTTTAATTTTGTTCTTCTTGTTATTTTAACTGTTTTGATAGTTTACTGGAAAGTGGTATATAAATACGTTAGATAATAAATAAATCTAATCTCTATTGATCAGTAGCAGAATTGGTCAGTAGCAGGGTTGTGGATTTGATATTTATTTATTACATTAAAAGTTGTGCTTTTTGGCTACCTGGTGTCCAGGGTGGTATATACTGTATTATGATACCAGCACAGGAGCAAAAACATTTACAAAACATGGAAAATATTGAGAAAGAAAAAAAACACACATGTATTTTCTCAGGAATAGCCCCTGTTGGTTTCATGTTTAATGTACCAACTGTTTTGCAGTCTTAATGATAAATTCATTCTCCAGGCATTCCTTTGAAGTAGGTTATTTCCCTGTTCCCATTTACAAGTAGGAAACCAAAATGGAAAGGGTGAGTTACTGAGGGCTACCCAATGTGCCAGAGAGGGAACTGAATTATTATTCCCCATTTTATTGCATTGTATTTATTTCTGTTCAGTGTGGTTACCTTACAATAATAGAAGAAATAGACATGACTGTGCCAGACGTGACTTGCTATGTAAATTTTTTAAAAGTTCCTGGCTGTACTCCTGTGCACACTTACATAAGTTGCATGGAACTCTGTGGGACTTGCTTCTGAATAACCACGAATAGGATTGTACTCTCAGTTACCTAAAAGTCCAAATCTAGCTGTTTTCTAGTCTACAATTCTGAAATCTGGTTCAGGATTTCTTCAAAGCATTCAGTGCTCTGAATGCCTGGTAACATGATGTCAGAGCATTTAGTCAGGAATAATTTAACAAGCTTTAATTGCTTGGATTGCATTAGTTTGCTCTATTGTTTTCTTAGCTGGTCCTATTTAAGTGGTGGAGCTTTCTGTGGCAGTCAGTTAAAGAGAACGTCTCATTCTGGTATTCTTTGTTGTTGGTTGATCAACCCTCTGAAGCCACAGAAGGAGTTTTCTCCCTTTCCTCTTTACAGATTATTCTTACTTTTGTTGTGAGCAATAAAATATTCAGGAATCCTGGGTCTCAGGGATTTGGGATCCTGCAGACATCTGCATTATGAATCAGAATTGTTCAGCTATCACAGCTTTCCATTTCTCTCCTCCCTCCAGCAGGAAACTAGAAAAATGTAGCTCTGCGATGAACTGCTGGTGTTTAACACACAGTTAGTACCCTCAGAAAAGCACTGTGGACAGTTCCCTTCCAAAAACAATGTTTGCATTATTGTGGCAAGAATGAACTTTCAGAAATGTCTTGAGTAGAGTGCAGCATGAATCCATGCCTTTTATTGCGTTGATTTTTTATTTATTAGCCATGTTCTGCTTTGGGCCAAGGTTATCTTTGTTTATTTATATATGTTGGAATGTTAGGTTTGGGTTAAAAAAAAGAGATGTCCCCTTTCCTGTATTGTCCTTTTGCATATTTACTTGGAACTCATTCTGTAGCTTGATATATTACATGTGAAATCTGGTTAATTCTGTCTGCTGACTGTTACTTCCCTCCTACTCCTCATTCCATCAGCCCGAGAACCTGCTCTATTACAGTCTGGATGAAGACTCCAAGATCATGATTAGTGACTTTGGGCTATCGAAGATAGAAGGCTCAGGCAGCGTCATGTCCACAGCATGTGGGACTCCCGGCTATGTGGGTGAGCTGCAGAAACCTTTGTTGTCTCTCCTTGCGGACCTTCAGATGTTCTTGGACTGCTGCTTCCATGATCCCTGATGACTGGCCAGGCTGGCTGAGGCTGAGGGGAACTGGGAGTCCAGTAACATCCAGGAGGCCGCAGGCAGGGGTGTAGTAAATTTTAATCATGACAGTCCCCAGAGCCACTTCCCCCAGGGAGAGTCTAGAAATTCAGGCAGATGCGTTGATCCATATCAGTGGATGAGTTCTAGCAGTTTTCATTACCACCACAGCAAATAATTGGTCTTTGTTGTCCATTCCACACCAGGTTTTCTTTAAAATAATTTGCATTCGGTAGGGGTAGCTCACAACTATATGTTGTTCTTAGGAAAACCCATTCACCTCTCACCTGTAATAGGTACTATTTTCAGAAGGAACAGGGAAGTCCCACAATACTAGAATGCAAAGTGGTCATCCCATGAAGCCAACTGGTGGGCCATTCAGGGATAGGTAAAAGGAAGGACTTATTCCTTATTCACACTGTGCATAATTATATTATTGAATTCACTTCCACAAAATATAGTGAGGGCCACCAATTTAAAAAGGGGATTGGACAAACTTAGGGAGGAGAAGGCTATCAATGACTACCAGTCCTTATGGCTTTCTGCTGCCTCCAGCCTCTGTGCAGCAGTTGCTGGAGAACGTGGGCAAGAGGATGCTCTTGCACATGGATTCTGCCTGTGAGACCCCATGGGCACCTAGTTGGCCACTGCATGGACAGAATACTGGGCCAAATGGACCACTGGTCTGGTCCAGCATAAAAACCCTGTTTTTATGAGCAGGATTGTAGATGGTATCATCATCCTTTCTCATCAAAAAGTATCCATACTTTGATCCGGTGAGCTCTGGATCCATTACACCAGTGACTTACACTGCACGTCTTAATTAGTTGTATAACTTTGCTGGGACTCAACACCACTATCCCTGATCATTGGCCGTGCTAGCTGAAACTTAAGGGATTTGGGGTGTAGCACCATCCAGAGGGCTGCCAACTGGATACTCTTCTTTCAGAAGGAGCCCCAGCATACAAGGTTTATATTTTGTAAGAGATGATATTGGTAGTGCTAATATTTTGAGTTTCTAATGGTTTCATTATTCATTTATTCCCCCCACCCCCCGCTGGCTCTCCTCTGATCTGGTCCAGCTCCTGAGGTGTTGGCACAGAAGCCTTACAGCAAAGCTGTGGATTGCTGGTCCATTGGAGTCATCGCCTACATCTTGTACGTACTGAGGTGGGAGGCAGGGTTGATGGTCTCTCCTGTCTATTCTGAATGCACATCTGGCAAGGGACTCCTCTAGCGCTAACTGTGGAGCAGCATCCTGCCCCTCTGCCCCTCCAGCATAACTCCAAAACCACATTCACCTCCTTGCTCTCTCCCTGATCTTTTGCTTACGGCTTAAGAATCTTTATCATAGGCCCTTCCCACCACCTTCTGAGGCTTCTGCAGACCCTCCCCTGGCATTTGCAAATGGTAAGGGAGAGACATGCCTTGTATTTAAAAGAACATTGATGCTGAGTTCCGGAGCCAGAACCATCAAACACCACAAATAATTTATATTGTTAATTAATATTATTCTATTTTGAAGTTTATTTATGCTTGTGAGCTGCCCCGAGTCTTCGGCGGCATAGAAGTCTCCTAAATAAATAAATAAATAAATAAAATAAAATAAAATAAAATAAAATAAAATAAAATAAAATAAAATAAATCTCTGTTGCATCATCACAGCCAAGGTTGCTCGCTAGGCTGCATCCTGGTGATGGGGCCTCCACCTTTTAAGATCAGAGGAGTGTAACATGAGGTCTTCCAGAGGTTTTGGCCTACAAATCCCCTTTCAGCGCTGGCTAGTATAACTGATGGTGAAGGATGGTGGCAGGTGTGGGCTTAAACATCTGGAGAGCCACAAGTTCCCAACTTCTGATTTAACTGCTCTGAAGAACTCCCTGAGTTGGAAGCTGCTGTGCGTTCTGGTTCTCTGGACATCTGCTGTGGCTAAGGACATTATTTTGTACCCTTAGCGGTGGGAGAAGTGGCTAAGAAGGCCAGCCAATGAATGGAGCAGGAGGTACGGCAGGTACAGTCTTGCTCGGCTGTCTCAATGTCTCCAAGCGAAGGCCTTGGCAACCCTAAGAAACCAGCCCTGTCTCTCTCTTCCTACGTCTACTATTTAATCCCTGTGTCAGGAAGTAACCGGTTCTCCTCATCTCTCTCCTCATGTGCATTTACCTCACTTCTCCACACTGTTCCACCTATCCCTAGTTTACATTTTCCATCCAAACCTGGTATATAACCTCAGGCCTGGTCACTTGTGTCCTGTCCCCGCTGTTTCCTCTCAGATTGTGTGGCTATCCCCCGTTTTACGATGAAAACGACACAAAGCTCTTTGAGCAGATCCTGAAGGCCGAATATGAATTTGACTCCCCCTACTGGGATGACATCTCTGAATCAGGTGAGGGAAGGATCTTCCGGTCCGGATGGGCAGGATGCAGCAGAGGGGTGCGTGGGCTGCGGGCAGCCCTTGTGCAACCTGCTGACTTGCATTCTCTCCGCTCCTAGCTAAGGATTTCATCCGGCATTTAATGGAGAGGGACCCCAAGAAGCGCTTCACCTGCGAGCAGGCACTGCAGCACCCATGGTAAGGGGAATCCAGACCCCATCAGTCACTTGGCTTTGTTGAAGCAGGGGTGCTGATCGTTTCTTGTCTGTCTGTAAAATGGGAAGATTAGGCTGCAGTCACGGCCCCACCTTCATCGGCCTCCGTGGCACTTGCTTCTGAGGAGGCCTGTGTAGGAGCGCGCTGCCACCATCCTCTCTCGCCGCAGGAGCGTGCAAAAGACCATGAGGCCACGGCAAAGGCGCTGTGGCTGGGTGGCAAAGGCGGCGCTTGGCAGGCAGGAGGTGCTGGGCTCCGTCTCTGGTATCTCTGGCTGCAGGGTGGCCTCAAGAGCCAGCGGTGGTGCCGTCAGGGCTGGACTCTGGGGCAGACGTCCGGGGCTACTCTCTGCAGAACTTGCAGGAGGGAACACCAAAAGTGGCCTGCCACATTTTGAGATAAGGGACGTAGTTCACCTTACCATAGAGGTATCACATCCAGAGGCTAAACTGGTGGTGGGCAACTGGTGGCTCTCTAGCTACGTTGGCCAACAGCTCCCATCATCCCTAGCCAGCTAGGGCAGTGGTGAAAGTTGATGGGAGTTGTAGCCCTCCAGACATTCTAGCTTGCAAGTTGTCCCCTCTGGTCTGAATTTACAACTGAGTGGCAGCACTGGAAAGCTTTTTCAGTCCATGGACCGGCCTTCCCCAGTTGGTGCCCTTTTTGGGACATCTGTCCCAAAAAATGAACAGTTCTGGGGTTTGAGGACACCATATGTGCGGTGCAGTGACTGAGAGCACGGGGCTGGGACTCAGGCCATCTGGGTTCTGGTCCCTGCTTGGCCATGGAGTCTACTGGGCCGGACACAGTCTCTCAGCCCAACCTACCTCACAGGATTGTTGTTGGGGGGATAAGATGGAAAGCAGCTGGAGAGTAATGTAAGCTGCTTTGCGTTTGTTATGAGAAAAAAGTGGGATATAAATCTAACGAATTATTATTGGGGAAGCTTGGTCTGTGGGGGCTCTAGTCAGTCAATTTAAGCCTTACTAGTCTTACTCAGTATGACTTTTCCATGCACTTGAGTTTTTGACAGCTTTTAACACGGACTTTACTGATGATCTGATGGTTTGTTTATATGGGGGTTTTGTCTTCTTTTATGCTCTGATTTCCTGTTACCTACAGTGATAGGGCTTTCTAATTGCTTTATATGGCTCTCTCTTGTTGCCTAATTCTCTTCAGTCAGTGTTGTCAGCCACCTCAGGATCCAGTACATTGAAGGGCAGCATGTAATTGTGCTGATTTCCCTTCCCAGGATCGCTGGAGACACTGCTTTGGACAAGAACATCCACCAGTCAGTCAGCGAGCAGATCAAAAAGAATTTTGCCAAGAGCAAGTGGAAGGTGAGGCTGTAGGGTGTTTTCACATACATGGCTTACATCTGTTTCTGCTTAACTTAGAATGCCATGAAAATGCTGGCTAGAATGTCTGTCACATTCTGACCCAGATGAAGAGCATGCACATATGGCATGTTTAAGAGAGGCCCGCGTGAACTTTTTAAAGCAACTCTAGGCCTTCATAAACTCCCTGAAAAAATCTTGGGGTTTCCTAGATTGTTGAAGGTGCTGAGAAAGCTGTTTGAAAACCTGTAGTTCTACAGTTCCTTACCATCTACAGTTCCCGAGAATGCCTTGAACAGGGGCGGTCTCAGATTCAATCCCTGTCCAAGTAGGACTAAGAAAAAGTGCCTGGCACCTGACAGACTGCTGCAAGTTGGTACCAACAAACGGGCTCCATGGTCTGATGTAGCAGGAGGTGCCTTCCTATTATTCCTATTAAGCTGGTTAGGTTTATGCCAGTGATGGCGAACTTTCAGAGACCGAGTACCCAAACTGCAACTCAGAACCCACTTATTTATTGCCAAGTGCCAACACTGCAATAAAACCTGAATTCGCTGGCCACCAGCACAATGAGTGTTGATGAGCCTGTTGCCTGGTGCCCTTAATCTTTCCGAATATGCGCATGGCTGCTGGGACAAGTATCTCAAGAATAGAATGGATAGTCACTCCCACCAGCCTCAATCTGATCCTCCTAGCAGGAAATGCAAAGCATGGGCTGTGTTATACAATCATGGAAAGGTAGAGTTGGAGGGGGCCATGAAGGCCACTGGGTCCAACCCGCTGCTGTTGCAGGACACCAGGTTACACCATCCCACTCAGATGGCTGTCCTTGAGCTATGATCCATCCTTCAGCTGTGCGTTTACTTAGCAGAGTGCTATAAAGAGTATCATGCACATTGTGCGGGGATCTTTACCGAAGTGAAGCTCGTGGCCTGAGAAAATGCCATCCATTGTTCATCAGGTGGGGTCTTGCTCCTGGTTGCAAGAGTTCATTCGGGTTCTTCCTTTCATTTCAAAATGGAAAAAAGCAGGGCACACAGATCTCAGGGGGAATCACACCGAGACACACATTAACCTTTGCTCATTTGAACGTTTCGCTGCAATTCAAATAATAAGCACTGTTCAGAGATGAATATTTGTTCTTTTCAACCAAATGCTTGAAGATAAGGGATGGGAAGCAGCATTGCCTTGCTTTTAAAACTGGGACAGTGCAGACACAGAGGGCTCTGCCTGCCATAGGTTTAGGTTCGCCATCACTGGTTTATGCTGTGGAGAGTTTCCTAACAAGTCATTCCTCTCCATGGGTCACATTACAACTCCCATAAACCCCAGCCAGCGTGGGCTGGGGATGCCTGGAGCTGCTGTCCAACTCGGGAGGGTGGCTGGAGTAGGTGTACCTTTCAGTTACGCAGGCAAGAGGAGGCACGTGCAGTCCCGGCTCCCTCAGCACTGACGCCTGTCCGCCACTTCTGCTTTTCTGCCCTGCGCAGCAAGCCTTCAATGCAACGGCTGTGGTCAGGCATATGAGGAAGCTCCAGCTTGGGACCAGTCAGGAAGGGTCCAGTCAAGCCATGCGGGAGAGCAACGGTGAGTGGCCGGTGCCACGGGAGGGCCCCCTCTGCGTCCTGTGGCGACAGCCGTGAGATCGCTCCTAGCCTCTCCCTTTGGATCTTGGTGTCAGCTGTCGCCCCCATGTACAACTGTGTGGGATGCTTGGCAACATTTCATCTCAATCTGTGATGCTGACACGAGAGGTGGGCTTGTGTGACACAAGAGCCGTGGTGAGCTCATACCATTGTGGGTTTGTTGCGTCGTTTGGACCCAGTTGCAGGGTTCCTTTGTGGTAGGATTAATTTTCTGAAACCACCGAGACCCAACAGTCAGTTCTAAGGCTTCCATGCTTCACCAGGGGTTCTCTGGCCATCTAGACCCAGGATTGCCGTTTTACTATTATTAGTATGGAAACACCATAGAATCCCCTGGCAAAGTGGCTGCAGAAGTGTCGGCTTCCAGCATTCAGTCTCAACCACACTCCGCTTCCTAGCAACCGGTGCATCATTGCTTGCTTCATTTCTATTGGCTGGGCAACACGTCTGTCTCCTTGTTTATTTTTGGAAACAGGGAGACAGTGCAAAAATACATGGAGGGAGGAAGAGAAAATGGCAGTGGAACTGTTTATTTCCATTTAGTAAAAATCTCTAAGGGGTCTGAAGAGGCTGGGAAGTGCCACAGCCACGCAAGCACACCTGGGTAGGAGGAACCCTCAGAATTGCAGTGGAGCAATCAGGAGAAGGAAAGAATAGGGAAGGATGGGCATTTTGCTTGTGTGGGATGCAGGGTGAGGCCAAGCAGTCAGAGCAGAGTCATGGAAACCACACCGCCCAGACAACCCTGTGACTGCCTGACTAGTAAGTCGAGGCAAAAATCCACACACTGTGGGAACAGCGCAGGGCTGTTTGCCATGGCTGAGTCCACGGAAAGGCAGCTGTAGAAGCAGAGCCTACGGCATTCAATGCATTGGCCAGTCTTTGAAGGTGTTGCCTTTGACTCCTGAGGTTACATTTCCCTTCTAAGATTCAAATGCTGGCTGGCAGTTTTCCATTTAGAACTTAATTTTACCTGTGAATATTTACTGGCTGAAGCTAAATTCTCATGAGAGGTTGTTTCTCCACCCCGTCCCTGCTTTCCTATTCTCTCCCTGCCTCCTCCAAACACCTCCCTGCCTCCAGAGGGATTTTCCCTCTGCCTTTTCAAAGTACATTTTTGGACAGAATGGTTGCAAAAGTGGTATCAAAAGTGGTTGCCACAAGCACCAGCAGTTTGAAAGGGATGACAATTAAGTGAGCAGTGTAGAGGGTGTTCCCCTTGGCCTAAGGCAGGATGGGCAGCCTTGGGTTGAAGAGGTTTGTAGGTAAAGGACGCAATGACTTGTTTTCAAAACTAAAAGGTTTCAGTGGCATTCTTCTTTGTGTGCATTGTATCAAACTAAACACTTTTTAAGTGTAAAAAAATGCTACGAACACTTGGAATAGGCCACACCGGTTGACCAGTTGTCCCATCATGCTTTGGGGAAGTCATTCTGCCCTTGCTTTCTCACTCATCTCAGCCGAACGAAGCAAGACATGATTTAGGTGCCATAGTCATAACAGTGCAGCCACGTTCCCTTCTGGACGCCTCCTTGAATCACTGCAGAAGCAGCTTTTGCTCAAAGCAAGTGCCCCTTGAAATATTTTCAGGGAGGATTATTTCAAGCTGCTACTAAACCTCGTGTTAGTCCATCTACTGAGTATGCAGACCAGAAGGTAGAAGCTGAGCTGTTTTACTTTGTTGACCTCGTAGGCTTACTTGTCAAGCCAGACCCAGCTGTGCCATGTCTCCCTTTTCTTCAGGTTCGGCCTCCGGGAGCAGCGAGGAATCCTTGGGGAGTGATGCTCACCATCCGACTCAGGACTGAATGTTCCCCAGTGGACAGGGAACAGATGGCGGTGCCAGCACCAACCCAAGCTGGGTGGGCAGTTCCAAGCCAAGCTCTCTCATGTTGCCACAAGCAGAGCCAGGGAAGGGTCTGGGATGCACCGCCACATCCCTCCCGGCAAAGTGTGTCTTTGCCCCAAGGCAGGGCCGCGGGAAGCTCCCCCGGTTAAGTCACACCTTCCGGAAACTGGAAGGGTGGAGGGGGGGCTGGCCCTTCATAAACCACACACTTCCCTGGAGATGCTCCCATCACCACAGAACGACTTACTGCCGTCCACAGTGGACAGGACCCATCTGCACCTTGCGCACACCCCTCGGTCTAAGCCAGTAACGACATCGTCCTTTGTGCCCCGTCCTGTGGATCATCAGGTCTTGGAAAGGAATATCCAGTTTCTCCCTTGCAGCAACTGCTCAGGATTGAGGCTGATCCCCACGCAGCCATGGAGCTTGAATCTGCCACCTCCCTCACCCCACCAGCCGAGGCTCCTGTTCACCCCATGCACACCAGGCACCAGGCAAGCCACCAGGAAGGAGCGGATGCTCCCTACGAGAGGGCTGGCAGGGCCTGGAAGTCACTCCAGACGACACAGTCACGTGCTGCTGTGGGGGAAGCGCAGCTGCTTTGCCTGCAGAGAGAGCAGTTGCTGTAGCCTGAACCCCTTTTGCAAGCTCCTCCAGCGAAAGAGTGGTGCATGTCTGAGACAGAGAGCCAGACTGAAGGGTCATTGCTTTGCTGGGGACCAGCTGTCCATGAGCGAAGACAGGTAATTTTTTAAGAGTGGTGGCTTCTTGTGCTCTCAACACACACACCAAATTCTGTCTGCGGGAGGGTGGCAAACTGTTCTGCAGACCTCCAGTGTGGCTTAGGCTGAACTTAGGAGGAGAAAGCCAGCTGTGGCAGGCACCTCTTGGCTGCTGCCCATTTCCAGAGCAGTTTTGCAACCCTGTTAAAAAAAAAACTTTGTGATTATTATTAATAGAGAATGGGAAAGGGAAGCACACATTCAGAAATGCAGGAATGTCCCTTTCGGTGTTTTTTTGGAACAGGAAGGCAGCCTGCGTGAAATAAGAGGGAGGGCTAGACCAAGGACTGGCACATTTCCTTGGCATGAGAAGTGACTCAGAAGCTCAGTGTCTAAGCTGCCAGTCAGTACATTTCCAACAGTAGTTGCAAAGGCTGGGTCACACCTTGGGTGAAGATCCCACTGATGCTGCTCTTAAAAATACTTTGCCTGTCTTCACCCAGCCTTGCCCTGGCACCACCAGGACCCTTCCTGTTGTCTAGTTCCGCCTGCCTTGTTCCGCCTGCCTGATCTTGAAGTCCAGCACTCCTTTTTTGCTCTGTTGTCCTTTCCCTTCACTCTCGATTGAAGAGGAACTTTCTAACTTGAAGTTTCTGTTTTGTTGCTTGTTCTTGTATTAAAAAGGAAGGAAGGGCATGTGGCTTTGTCTGTCTGTGCCCCATCTGTCTGGGCAGACATGGGAGAAAAAGAGGATGTGCCAGCTCAGGTAGCAAGTGCACGATAAACAGAGTTTCTGGAGTCATTTTTGAGGGACAAATGAGGGTCAAAGAAACAGTCCCACCATCATTGTTTATTTTTTAACATTGTTGATACAGCACCTAGAAGTAGGCTAAACACTGTATAAAAGGGTGAAAACAAAGAGGTCTCTGCCCAAAATAGCTCACAGTGCAGGGTAGACAAGAGAAAATCAAGGAATATACATGGGAATAAAATGTCAAATCATGGTTTACTAAAACCTGAGGTGATTAAAAACCCAAGTCGTCCCAGTCCAAATTGCATGCTGCTAACATTTCATTAATTTTGACAGGGAGATGCACGTGTGTGCACACACACACACACACACACGTGCGCACACATTTAAGAGTCTCCCATTAAAAGCAGCAGAACCTAAAGGTGCTGAGCTTTGGCTGCAGCATAACTCAGTTTGCCCAACAAACTATCCCTTGAGACCTCATCATAGAGACGGAGGATATTGATGACAAGAGCAGGAGAAAAGGAGAGCTAGGCAGGAAAAGAAAGGTAAGCTAGGCTACAGAATTAAAATGAAGATGCTCAGGAATACCATTCCAAGTAAAGGAAAAAAGCAAGAGAAAATGGAGGACGATGTTTGATATATATATATACACGCATATAAGGGGTGGAAGAGGGCCTATTTACAGTTGCTTCAAATAGCTGGAATGGCCACGAAGATCAAACCGGAGGTGAGACAAGAAGCACCTTTCAGAGGTGATTCTCGTTTCTGGGTGTTGGCACAAAGGTAACCGTTACCAGCAAACCTTTCCTCTGTCCCCCCTATTCACTGGAAGGATCCAGTTCTCTCATTTAGAATATGATCACCTGCAAAACACAAGAGGCATGAACCAGCAAGTTGGTCCAGACCAACAGCAGAGCCTGCTTTATCTACTCAGAACCAAGTCCCATTGAGTTCCATAGGGCACAGACTCAAGCAGGTTTGCTTAAGATGGTAGTCTTAGTCCTACTGAAAGTGGCTGGACTGGGTTAGTCATTCCGAATTTGTTCTGTGGTGACTTAATCATGACTAAAAGTGCTCTAGAAGAGGGCAAAGTGTGGTATGATTTAGACCAGGGATGCCTGATTCCTGGGGAACCCCTCTGCTTCCCAACCAGAGGTCAAGTAGGATAGGAATGCATGTTTTTCACACAAACGGACCTTTCGCAAGTGGTTAGGCTCCGTAATAGGAAGATGGGGGCCACCCAGGGGCAAGGGCTCTGTAGTTACAGAGCACGTGCATTAAGACACGGCTCTATATGCAAATGTTTCCACCTTACATGCACGTTAGAGAGCTGTGAAATAACATGACATCTTTCGCTTCCAGTTCAAAAACATTTCCCTTTAATTACTAGTGACACCACGGCCTGCCTTTTCAGCCACATGTAGATTAAGTTTCAGTAGGTCCAATGAAATTCCGTAGTGGGGCTGGAACTGGGTCAGGCTACCCATCTGCAATCTGTCCCACAACACCCCCTTCCTGATCCAGACAACCAACTTCAGCAGACCAACAAAAGCACGGAGACTTCAGCCCTCACTGACTGCTGTCTGGTCCCCCTCACACTTTCATTGTGTGTAAAATTGTTCTTTCACAGTGAGATAATCACCCCATAATTCAGACTGAAGTCCAAATCCATGGCCTTGGTTCTGGCAAGAAGGTCTTCTGCCTCCAATGGCCGACTGAGAACTGGCCTTACCACAGTAATACTGTACCCCCAGTCAAAGCAAGTGACAAAAGCTACAGGAAAAGCATTCTATTCTACACAACACACGGCAGCTACACATCATGCTTAGGCCACAAACAACCCCTGGTGGACAAAAACCCCAAACAGCTTAAGCAGGAGGCCCACAGCTCACGCCCCCTGGGCCCTCTCTGCAGCAGCTCAGGCGGTGGCCCGTCTGCGGTGGGCAGCCTTCTCTCCCTGGCTCCAGCCTTGCAGAGGAAACTGTTTTCTTGCCTGGATCAGACACACAAATGATACTGGGGCTGCAAGAGAGACGCTTATGTCAAGGTCGAGTGGCTGCTTCTGGCCACTTTGTCACAGCGCTGTTTGGCATCTGGATCAGGAGACTCCTGGTATTTTCTTAGATCCGCACAAAAAAGGACCTGGTGAAGGAGGGAAGACAGCCAGAAATAAGACTGTGTTTACAAAAGGGTGGTCCGAATGCTGGCCGTGTTGGAAGGAAGAATGCCTGCAGGACTGGGGTATAAAAGATCCTCGGGGGAGACCTAGGCTAGGCTTTTGTCAGTCCTCTCAGGAAACACAAGCTTCGCCTGTTGCCTGTACTCATTTCCTTGAGCCAAGGTAGGGCTGGGCTGCCCCAAACTGCTGGTAATTGGGCATGTCTGGGGCTCCTGGTGGGTTCCAGAGCAGGGTTGGAGGGGGTGATGGTGCCTAAAGAAGATGGGGAGGAAAGGGTACATGGAGGGCACAAACACAGCAGAGCACAACACTGGCACCCATTTTGGATAACACTCACGACACTCTCTCAACATTCCAAATATGCCCACTAACCCCAAAAAGGAAGATCCGTGGCCTAGAAGAAATAGGAGAAAGCTCTGTGACCGGAGAAGCTGCATCGGCATGCCTTGTCCCTTCCGCTACTGCTGGCTGAAGCCCCTGCCCTCCCCACTGTGCTTTGCCCCCCTTTTCACATGTGAGAGAACCCCCAGGCCCTGCCCACACCCTTCAAAGCCTCACCTTCTAGGAGCCATAGAGCTGCTTCCTAAGATTTCTTAGGTTTGCTTTCCAAGAAACAAGGTGCTTAACATGCCAAATTGTGAACGGGGAACCAACCTTGAACAATCTAACCGGCAAGCGCAAGCACGGCACAAGGCAGGCTGATCCTCTTCTAAGCTTGCTTCCCGACAAATGGCTCCAGCCACCACACGTGCTCAAAACGGGCAGCGGGAGAAGGGGAGAAGGGCTGGTGCGCCTTACTTACCGCCTGTGCCCATCCAGCATACGGTCCCCACAGGCTCCGAAAGAAGTTCCCTGGAAGCAGAGCAATGGAAAGAGCGGGCTTACAAGGTAGCTGCCTGGGCTGGTGGGTGGTGCAGGACTCTACCGCTTGAGATAGTCCATGCCCTCTTGTCCATACTCTTCTCTTTCAAGCTCCCATTGAGGAGGAAATTAAAGCCCTAGATGGCTTAGATAGCTGAGGCATTGCCTTTCCTCACACCAACCTGCCTTCTGCAGGAGGCCAGCACCCTTGACTACTAACATTCAGCAAGTGACTAATAATAGGCTCAGGGCCTTGACAGCGCAGGTGCTCAAGCCATTAAGTTCCTATGCAGAGACATCTGCTGGAAGCTTTCTCTTTTATGCACCAGACAAAGCCTGTCTAATTGCTTCAGTTTTTAAAGAATATTTCATTGTCTTTTAGGATAATTGGTTCCCCTTTGACTGACCGAATAGTCAAACTTTTTCTTTCTTCTTGCTGGCTTGTTGTTACGATGAAGATTACCTTAGCTTTGTTTTTTTCATCTACCCTGGATGTTGTTCTTTTAAAGCATTGCTTTATATTGCTTTAATTCTAATTGATTTTATTAGATGCTGAGATAGCAGGAAATAAATCCTTAAACACATGAGTAAATAAATAAAGCTATTTACTACTGTTAGGATAGGCATGGGGTTCTTCTAGTTCAGGATTCTGTTCCCAGAGTGGCCAACTTGGATATCCATGGAAAGTCCACAAGCTGGACATGAGTGAAGCAGCTCACATACTTCTAACTCATGTTGCCCAAACACTCTGTAACATGATAATCAACAAGGACGTTGGAGAGTTGAATAAAGTACAGGAAAGGCCAACCAATACTAATAATCTCCCATGAGGAAAAGTTGTTACAACTTTGGGTTTTTAAGCTTAAAACCATGCATAAAGGGGGGCATGGTGGAGGTATATATGACTATGCATATGCAGAGAGGGAAGTTAAGGAGAAGTTTCTTTCCCTCCCTCCCTCCCTTTCAATATTAGAACACCCCATGAAGCTGAACTGTGAGGGATTCAGAACTCACAAAAACGAGTCCATCTGTCTGCAGCACACCGTTTTTGTGCCTCTGTGGGAAACAAGATTGGGCAGACTTGAGGAACCTCTGGCCCAGAGCCCCAAGTTTGGCCTCTGCATCTCTGAAGGCCAGCCGTGTCTCCTCCTCAAAGTCTCTCCACTGCAGAAGATGCTCCACCTGCCAATCACCTTCCCCACCAGAAGCCCTCAAGCAGCAGCTCCCCTGAAGGAGGGACTGGTTTGGCTCCATGTGAGGCGTGGAAGGGAGAATGAGTGGCTGAGCGAGCATTGTGGGGGCTGGATTGCAGCCACGGGGTGATCCCAGCCTCTCTGTGCTGAGGCCCTGCCTGCGGCTAGCATGCAGCACCCCAGCCTGCTTGCCTGCACAGAGCCGACGCGGCCCTCTGGCCCTTGGAGGCTCCTCCGCCCCTGCCTCGAGCCCCTGGTCTCGTTCAGTGGGACTCGCGTACGTCACGTGGCATCCCGTCTGCCCGTTCCTCTCTGAAAGGGACGGGGACCAGCAGAGCGGAGAAGGACTAGGAAACCGAGCCCCAACAGGAGACGCAAGGACAAGGCTACATTCTGAAGTCCACCTCGGTGCGCCGCGCTCCACGAGAGGAAGGCGTTCGACCCCGCTGGTGCTCACCGATCTCTCGATGAACCCGCTCCGTCACGCTGCGGGCTCCCATGCCCAGCTCTTGGCCATAGTAGCGTTTGGCAACCTGCCATATGTGGGTGTCCACAGGCACCGCCTCAGCCTTGTCCAGCGCCATGAGGCACACGCAGTCCGCCACCTGCAGGGGAGATGGAGAACACTGAGCCGCTGTAATGGTCCTGCGGGCATCATCAGGACCCCAGGGCCGAGTTCAGCCCACCTCTGCTCCACAACCCCTTTGGTCCAGCCACACTGCCGTGATTCCCACACTCCAGCAAGCCACCAAAGGGGGCCAGGCCCAGCAGCCCTCCTGAGGCCTCTCAGAGAGAGCCTTGCTTCTCTCTGCAGTGGCGGCGTCACAAGCTCAGCGCACACCCACCTTGACTCCCACGCCCGGAAGGGTGCACAGGGCGTGCCGGGCCTGCTCGTAGGGGACGGAGCGCAACTGCTGCAGGCCAGCGGCACCGCCAAGCGTCTTCAGGACAGCACGGGCACTCTCTCCAACAAACCTTGCCCGATACCCAAAGCCCAGGTCTCTCAGCCGGGCTTCCGTGTCTGCTCCTGCAAGAGGTTATGGAAGAAAGGCCATTCCTGCTTCAAAGAAATGCATTGTCAAAGAGGGAGAAAACGCACACCCAGGAGAGATCTGGAAGACGACTTCGAAAAAGCGCTGAATGCAACATCCGTCAATTAAAGGGTGAAGAACCAATTTGCTCCAGGGCTCAGATTTTCTCCAGGCCACTGCCACAGGCTGGAAGAGTAACGGGGTGGACCCACTAATGTCACTGGTTCCCAGCCAAAGCCTTCCCCTTTGTGCCTCCAGCCGGTGCTTCAGCTAATTTCTGCAACCAAACATCAGTGTGTTGCAACTGGAATGCATTCTATAAGATATTTGTGTAACTGCATCAACATTGCATATTATATGTTGGTTTCACAACTGCTCCCTTGTTTGGCTAAGACAAGATATTTCTTACAAATGACATTCATTCAACCTTTTGGGATAGGTATGATAAACAAAGGAGGATTTAGTTCAGCCTCACTCTGCCCACCAGATGGTTTGGGTTATAGCACCCATCTGATGGGGTGATGGGAGATGTAATTCAAAACTTTTGGAGGGCACCAGACTGGGGAAGACTGATAAAGACCGAGTGGGCATCCTTGAATCAAAGGGATGGGAGCTCAGAATTGGCAAATAGAACCAGACCTGATCAGAGAATCTGCCCACCATGTTTGAAAGCATTTTGTACGGGTTGTTCATCAAACCCTGTTTGTTCAGTCAAGCAACTTGATCTCTCCGCATGTGTATTGCCAAGATGTCATAGGATCTCTCCAGTTTTACCCCACATGCCTGAATGTCGCATGCTCTGTTGCATTCCAGAACATCCCACCCCTGCCCATTTTTAGCCAGCCTTCCTCTCAGTCCATCTGCGCCAGGGACACCCATCCAAACGTCTCCTTACCTGCCATCGCCTGCAGCGAGGGGAATGCGTGGTATGTCTTGGTGTCCAGCTGGCACAGGCGGCGCCCGAAGGCCTGGCACAGGTGCTGGATCATGTTGGTGATGCGTGACAAATGGTTGTTGGAGGTGCAGATGAAGGAGAAGAGGCATTCCACGGGGTCCTGCCGCAGCACCCGAACCCCTGGGAGGGCAGAGGCAGGCAGGCAGGTTGATAAGCTGCCACAGGCTTGTGTCCGAGACTGTGTGCCGTCTGCAGCCTTTTGGAATTTCTTGCTGGGCACAGCATTCAGTCTCCAGAGAGTCTCAATAAAACAACAACAACACTCAGAGGTCCAGCCCTTAGGGCTGTAGAGTATCTACGTAAAAGATGTACAGGCTAATGCACAGTGGAAGATCTGAAGTGAACACCTTCAGAGGAGAGAAGCCAGACTTGGTAGGATTGTTGATGGTCAGATGGTGGGAGACCTGATGCCTCCTTATGACTTCCCATATGACAACACTGGGCTCCAGTTAAGGCTTCCTGATAAACTGTTTCCATCAGCACCAGCAAACCTTTAAAATCTGCTCCAGAGGGTTGGTGAACCCTTTGGAACAGAGTTTATTTATTCTATTTTCCATTTAATTATTCAATCTGTATGCTGCCCCACCAGTCATAGGGCTCTCTGGGCGACTCACAACATAATTTGGGAGGCTAAAGGAGCCTGCAGGGGACAGGAGAAAGCTGCATTGCACAAATGAAATTCACTCCTGCACAATGTTGGATTCACCCTTTAGAAACACATTATGCAAATACCCTTAGCTGGCATGTTTAAATACCGTTCATGGAATCCAGTTTTCTTGCTGCAGAATGAGAGTGATCTTGCCAGAGATTTCTAGACATTTCAAATGCAGGAATAGACAGTGGTAGCTGTAAAAGCCAGGTGTCCATTACAAGGATCAGACAGATCTCTGCAGCAAAATGTTTCTGGAACATCACTGACCGGTATATCTCTTAAGCTCTCCCTGGAACTACAAGGGCTAGAATTTTGTTTCCTTTCAATACAAGGTGAGGGTGAGCCAGCGTGGTGAAGTAGTTAAGTGTGTGGAATTAGGACTAAGGAGATCTGGGTTCTAGTCCCCACTCAGTCATGGAGCCAACTAGGTGACTTTGGGCCAGCCACAGACTCTCTGCCCAACCTACCTCACAGGGTTGTTGTTCAGAGGATAAGACTGAGAGGAAGAGAATGATGTAAGTTGCACTGAGTTTCTTCAAAGGAAAAAGGTGGGGTGTAAATAGGATAGATAAATACATAAATAAGTTGAAGTAAGCACCAACTTCTTAGTCAAGTTCTGCACACCTATCATGCAACACAGTTCTGATCTAGATGAATTCTCCCACCAAAAATTAAACGCCACAGAGGCCAAGGCCACTTGCCTCCACCTCCTGCGGTACACTGACAGCACCATTCCTGAAGTCACCTACCTGGGAACTTGATGGCCACTTCCCGGAAATGTGAATCAACATAAGACCAACCCTGGTACAATGCAGATAAGTTGACGTGTAGCTGGAAATAGTCCTGCAGGATCTGTGAGGGAGTCAATCCGTCCATTCCCCGGATCATTTCTCCTGGTAAATGGCGTTCGCTCGTCCCAGCATGGCTTGCCTCGGACTGTGTCTGCTTCTTCCCTTTTTTCAGCGGTGGCTCGGAGGGGCTGTCGTCCTCCTTGCTGCCGCCCTCTTCCTTGTCCTCATCATGCAGCGTGTACCAAAGCTGCTCCTCTGACTGTGTGAGGGTCCAAACCCGTCCTGCCAGCACACCAGTCCAGTAGCCGGGACTGGTTTCTGACCACCTGAAAGCAAGCAAACAAGCAAGCCTGGTTAGCAGTTGGAACAGGCTGACTGTAACTGAGATGGCTAACTGGGGTTTCCCAACTCCTCCTATGCCTACCTACAATGGGTAGCAAGGCCAAATATTTGTGGGGGCCAACATGTGACTCATCAATTCCTCAGCACAGCTTCTACTTTCACTCAGAATAAAACTACACGAGCTTCCTCAGCTTGCGCACCCTATTTCTGAGGGGACCGATATAAAGTCTCTCTCCTGAAGGTACCAAAATCATGAGTCCCAAAGAAACAGCTGCCCTAACAGTAGCTTGGATCTCACAATAAGTAAGCTTGCACTGACTTGATAGGTTTTTAGTAAATAAAAGGGTATATAAATACCAATAATGAACAAACAAGCATAAGGAAATTAATGAAATGTTTCCTGTCTTCTCCTACAAAACACCACACAACTTTATTGCCATCTATCAGCAGTGTAACACCGTGGGTCCTCCTTCCCCTACACTTTGTGAATATTGTATGCTTTATAAGGAAGGGGACATAGCTCAGTGACAAAGCTTACTCGTTTCAGTAGCCAGCATCTCTGGGTAGGGCTAGAAAAAACCCTTGCCTGAAGTCCTGGAGAGCCACTGCCCATCAAGGTGGATGAAACCCAGGTTAGATGGATCAGTGGTTTCCAAAAATAGGAAATTATGTTTCTATTTTTGCTATATTTCTAAACTCTGGATTACCTTTCCCCAATTTGGATGCCTACAGAAGTTTTGAATATCAATCCTATAAGCTCCATTCAGCATGGTTACTGATCAGGAATAATTAGAGGCACAGTCTAAAACATTTGGAGGATATCAGAACTGGGGAAGACTGCTTTATATTATAAGCAGCCCTGGGAATTTATTTGAAGGGCTTGGTAGAAATCCCCAGTATAAATAAAACCTGAGGTTCAGTCCAACTCTGTACTTCTTGATAGTGGCCAGGCGATGAAAAAACAGAAACTGTGGCACAGAAGGCCAACACACAGTCTTGCCATCAAATGCACCTAACATGGAACCAGCCCCTTCTGCATGCCTTTTGCTAACTTAGAGATTTCAACATGGCCAGACTGTACAGACAGCATTCATGAACAGCCTGTGTATTTCATGCTGGATCACAGTTCACCTACATAGCATCTTGGTGCACATTGTACATGTATGCATTCTTCTTACAATAACTGCAACACACCACAAGCAAAAAACCCTAGCTCTTATATTAACTTTCTTTGAAGCTTTGCATTCTTCCAGTAAGCACCCCAAAGCGTGACATCCTGGACAGATGGTGTTACAGTGCATACAATCCTCTCTCTTCACTGAAATAAAAGAATTCAGAAATTCAGCTTCATGAAATCCAGGATTCTATGCAGGCAAAAAAAGATGGGAATCACGTATCACTGGCTAATTTATGTAGGCTTCAATGCTGATGAGCGCTGCTGGTTTTTGGGGGCTAGGAGAAAATATGGCTGATTAGCAAATATGAACAGTGGCCTAAAAGTCAAAGTGCATTCCCTGTCCTCTGTGCAAAAGGAAATTGGGCGGGGGGTCAGTGAGGAGGCTGCACTACTCCAAGCACAATGCACAGCACCAGGAAAGAAGTAGAGACACGGTTGCCATCATCTCTCGCCCGCCCCCCAATTTCCCCTTGCAAAGCTTGGGTGACTTAACAAGGGCAGCTTCACCGCTGCTCTTCCGTGCTTGCACTGCGCAAGCCGAGCAGCAGTGGAAGACAAGGGGGCCCCGGGGGCCCCAGAGAAGGGCAATATGAGAGACGGAGGGAACGAGGGAAGGAGGGGCTCAGGGCAACAGGAGGCAATTCAACGGGGAATCCTCCTGACCAGCTTGCAGTTCCTCCCTGGGAGCCGCGAGGGGGCGCACTAACCGGAAGGTCTGCCCGCCACAGAGTACCAGGTCGAGGCGGAGTTCGGCGCGCGGGCACGGCAGGGAGCGCCAGGGGGTGGCTCGAGGCAGCGGGGCCGGGCGAGAGTTCATATCGTCCCTTCTGCTGCCGCCGCGGCCGCCCTCGGACGGGGCGCGGAGATGCCGATGCTCCTGGTGCAGCTGCCGGTGTACCAGCTTGGCGCGAGACCCGCAGCTCCGAGCCCGCAAAATCACCATAGAGTTGTCCCACTGAGTTTGGAGGAGGGATCGCGCAGGGGTAGACGGAATTCCAGTGCTGGCCGCTCTAGGCCACTGGGGTATTCTTGGTGGCCCACTTGGGCAGAAGTACTGGCTGCCTGGGCGTCAGGGAATTTCTTCCGGGCTAAGGGTTGGGCTTTGGTAGGCCCATCAAATGGTTACGTGCAAAATGGGTCTGAGGAGGAAATAGGTTCTTTCTCTCCTCCCCCACGAAAGTACCTCAGTGGAGACTGGGGCATAGTTTCCAGTCCCTAGGTAGGTTATGCCAGAACAACGAGGCAAAGTTTTGTATATCCTTTAACAATTTTTCTATGATATGAGAGTTTTGGAATGGAAGCTTTTACTAGAATAAGTTTGTTACACTTTTCATTGGCATAAGCCTTTTGATTGTTTTGCTGCAGCAGCCTTAACGCTGGTACCCCTCTGGAAAAAGGCCATAATATTGATAAATCCGTTACCGTTTAAACTGCTACAAGGCGTTGGGGTGCCTGCTGTTTTTGCTGCAAGAGGCTAATATGGCTATCGAAGTTGCTTTCAACCAGAGCATGGATGTCCCGCTCCCTATTTACAGTCTGTATGGTGGTGTTGTTAGTCGCGAAGTCGTGTCCGACCCATCGCGACCCCATGGACAACATTCCTCCCGTCTGTATGGTAGGAACTTCCAAAATCTTGGGCGAGAATCACAAAAGAAGTGGCCAATTTTTTCTTCTAAAATTAACATAGTTAATGTGATGGTGACCCTGGTCATTAGGATTGCTGCAGGATTAAAGGAAATGTATACTTTCTTCCCTAACCCATCTGGAAACACAATGATTTATATTCTGATCATCTTTTGCCTCATCTGCAAGTGCCTCCATTCTGGTTCTTTGACTTCTATCCAGCCAAAACCATTCAAATGTTTAATTTAAAAGGTCTTTTAATCAACAGTTTTCACAATTCTATCAATTAAATATTCTAGCTACTTGTCATGGAGTTACCTTTTATAAATATATTGAGTACTGGCAGATTTTTGCAATGCACAGGCAACCCTGAATTTGAAGTCTAACATAAACATTACTATTTATTTATTTATGACTTTTCTATACTGTCATTTATTCTAGAGAATCTCATGATGGTTTACAACAAATAAAATAGCAAAACAGAAACAAAACAAATACTTTGAAATGCCAGTACTTGATATTAAAATAGCTAAAAATAAAATCCAGCAATTAAAAAATTGTGGGTCCAATTTAGCTTTTCCATTGGTGCGAACATTCACTGAAGTGAGTTATGTTGAAAATGCTCCCGCTTGCAGGGAGAAGATAAGCAGGCAGGCAAATGGCCAATTCCTCCCTCTGCTTCCCAGCTCCACTTTTCCCACTGTTCTGGAAGACCTCCCATCCTCCAGAGCAAACTGGGAATGGGTATACGGGACTGCAAAAGCAGGGAATCCACATATACCAATTTCCATTAGCAGAATTCCTGTGCTGCAACAGAAGCCTCCAGCCTAGAGCCCTTTTTCTGCATGAGGCTTGTGTTGGATCCAACCCAATCTACATGTAGCTATTGCAGCTGATATACTGGAAAACTTCACATTATGGCAGAGTTCTAAAGCAGAGTGTTTGTAAATTCTTTAAAACTTTGAATAAATACAACCCATTCTGCCCCTAAATGATCAGTGTTTTAAGCTATGTAGACAGCAAATTATTTTTTCTGTTGTGTGTGAAACTATGGACGCATTATAAAAGAATGCCAACAGTTATGTAGGATTTTCAAAATATTCAGTAGAACTGTGCTAGGAAAGAACTTGAATTTCCCTCAGCATAAAAAACAAGCATTAGTTACAGCTAATCCTTCAAAATGGTCCATACTAAAAACTGGTAAAATTCTCTAACCGTTAAATGAAAAATGGGAAATAAGAGACTGCTGTGAGCAACAAAAGTTTAACAGCTAAAGATTCCCATTTGAAAATTGTATTACTTGTTGACCTGGCAAAAGTCACTTACTAAATAAACATCTAGGCAGAGTCACACCAAACACAGTATATAACTCCTGGCTACCAGCAGGAACCTGAAACTAAAAAGTCGTGCAGCAATGAAGGAGAAGCAGTATGTGACTTGTGCAAGTCCCAAGGCCTGGATTGTTTTTGCAAGCAACACAAATTGGGTTTCTGCACTGTCTAAAATTTAATGAATTGCAAAACCTAGGCAATTTCAAGCTGTTTTCTTCCTCTGCATTATCACCACAACCAAAGACACGCCATACTAAAAATACGCTTAGGATCACTTGTATAAAATAGATGTAGAGCCATCCCTATGTATGTTTAGATGGAAAAAGCTGGCTGAAGAATACTGCGAGTTACAGGACTTTTCTTCTTCTATAAGACTGTCGTGTTTTTGATCTTCCAGGTGAGTTGATAGGTTACTGTATGCAATACAGAATGCAAATTTTGGAATGTCACAAGACCAGATATTAGGCTAGATGTTATTTTTAAAGGGTTTTTTATGCTAGGGCACAATATTTACTCATTCCTACAAGAAATGAGTCTTATTTTCTCTCCTCTTATCTACAGATTTCTCTGGTCTCCACATTGGAGGGGCACCAAGCAAACAATTAGGAAAAAACCAGGCCATGCAGGTAAGCTTATAAGCTCTTTGAAACAAAACAGAAAGGAACAAATATATGTTCCCTTTGGAAATGTATCAAATGTGGAGAGTAATGCTGAAAATGGTCTAACAAGGATTAGATGAAATGGCTTGGCATTGCTCCTCTCACAGTATGCTTGGCTTGTTTTAAAAGCTTCCCACGCTTTCAGCTTCACTGTACCAAAATGTGACTCTGGAAATGGTCTGCAAGCAGATGATGCAGCTATACTATTGAAGTTAGCCAGTTCTGTCCCTGTGTGAGCTGCCAGATGGGGGACCCCTTGGGAACCACACGCAAGTCACTTAGAGCCCTTTTGTGAAAAAGCAGGGTGCAAATGCAGTAACAAAAATATAGGGAAAAATGAAAAAAGTACATCGCCCATTTGTCAGTTCTGATGTATAAAGCAGGTATGTAAAGGCAATTACCAACATCTCTTCTGGATCTAGGGATAGGTCCAGGACCTGCTTTCTCCAAGAGAAAATATTTGCTCATAGAATGTCCCTCTGCCAGATTTGAGGATTCCCCCACCACATTCAGCAGAGACATCTAACTTTGGGCAGTATTTTCAGGTGGATGGAAGGAAGGGCGTCCATGTCCACTAGTGCAATTGATCCAACTTATAGCAAATGGCATATATTGTTCACACTAAATGAACAGTGCCTAATGAGAATGATGGTATTAATCCTAACAGCAAAGGTAGTACAGATGGCTTTCTAGCTATCCGCGGCTTTCAGACAAGGAGCAGGCAGCAGTGTGGAACAGGCACTGGAACTTTGCATGGAAAAAGAACACCATCCCTCATCCATTCTGGTAACATTAAAAAAAGAAGACGACACCACTGGTTCTAAAAGAGCCATTTTATTTTCTAAGAATCGATAGAGATCTTCTTCCTCCAAAATAAATACAAGTACAAATGCCCACCTGGCTGCAGCAGAAAGAAGAGCCAGGTTCCTACGGGGCAGGGTCAGCAGAGCCAGATTCCAAAAAGCTACAGTATCAAAATGTGCGAGTGAGAAGACAGCGGCCCTGCTCTGCAGAGTGTCGGTAGGGCTGGGCCAAGGAAAGACTGATGTATTTCGAGAGATGCTATGATGCAGGGAAGTACAGGGCCAGGGTCTGTGTGTGTAGGTATATAGAGCAACCCAAATAATTTACATTCTCCCACTATTGTACAGTATTTTACAAAGGCCTAGAGGCTCAGGACCCAGGGGGTGGGGTACTGTCCTTGGGAGCTGTACAGGCAGCTGGGTATTGCTCACGCAGCTGGTCAGGGCAATTTCAGGCATGGAACAAGGAAGGGCAGGCTGGCACAAGAGGTAGGCTTGCCCATGTGGAGGGCACAGTGCTCTGTGGGTGTGCCCAGCACACTGGAGGGGCCGTTGGGTGCTCTACACAGGCTCCCGCAGCCTGGCCGAGGGCCTGGGCTTCTCAAGGCTGGAGCTCCTCGCTCCCCTCTCCCGTACAGGCCAGCTGCACTGAGCGAGCACCCAGGGCGGGAGCTCCTCTGAGGGTCAGTCGCTCTCGCTGGAGTCACTGCTTTGCTCTCCTTGCACCTTGTTGCGGTGCTGCATGGCACGGTGATAGGCGATCTGGACAGACTTGCGGATGTTGGACTTGCGCCCTTCCAGCATTTTTTCTTTGTCCAAGTCCTGGTTCACTCCCAGGGGCACAAGTTTGGTGCGGGGCAACCACTGCCTGCAAAAATAGAACAAGCAAACCTCACTAGGGTCCCTCTCATTCCTGAAGGGAGAAGAAAAGCCCATCCTCCTCCTCTATCCACCCAGTCTTGGGTCTGGCTGTGCCCTGAAGCAGCAGCCCCATCCCTACAATCTTCAGAGACGGACAAAGCCTAGCCCTTACCATGTACGCTTGTTATCAAAGAAAAGGACCAGATAGAGGTGCTCCCGTGCTTCCTGAGTCATCTGTTCTCCCAGCTTCAGCACCTCCAAAGGAGGCACAGGGATGGGAACACCGTGGTGGAACATCCCTTCCCGTGGCATCTTCGGATCAATGATCTACCAAGAGCAGGAGGGAAACATTCAGGGAACAGTAAAGGACACCTGTCCATATGATGTATAAGAAGGATAACCTTGCAGACACAAGCGGAAGGTAAGAAATGACAGCAGATACAGGTGAATCATGAGAAAGGGCTGAGATCCAAGTGATCAAGTTTAAATCCCAGTTTAATAACAAAGTTCACCAAATAGTCTTAGATGTGTCTTTGAGCTGGTTCACACAGTCATGGAGGGAAAACAGGTTATGGTGGCTTATTTCCCCCTTTGGGCATGCTGGAGAGTGATGGCATAAATACACTTGGTTTGTTGCTCTAGGAAACAACCTCCCCAGAACCTCACTCAAACACATGGGTGCTAGGGTGGCTTTTTACCCATGCTAACAAGTCACCCTGGGTCGGTTCCTATAACTTGATGAGCTATGTTACTGAGGGTAGTTATGCTAATACTCCTAGCAAACAACAGACATATGCAGAGGGAGAAATAAGCCACAACTTATTTTCCCCTCCATGACTGGGCAAGCCCAATGTCTCTCAACCTCATCTGCACCCCATACCAACCACTTATCTGAGATTCTTGGAGAAATTGACTGGGATACAAAAATGACAAATATGTAGCTACAGCAACCAGGCATTGAGGCTCCCAGGGTCATGGGTTTTTACATATGAACAACCTGAGTTGTTCACCTGGTCAGCTGCAAATGTGTTCTGCAGTAGGATTCCAAAAATCTTAGCTTCAAGAATTTCTTTTCCCTATCTGAGGGCACATTTCTACCTTTCACAGCGGGAAAAGATAGCTGATAGTGTGCTATGTTTAGTAATCTCAAAAGAGGGTTGTATTTGTGGACATAATAAATTATGTTTGGAATAAATTAATATTTCTGTCACATATTTAATGTTCCTGTTAGCTGCATCCTTGTGCTGGAAGGTGCTAACTGCATAAGTCCATCAATCAACCTTTATTATGTGGTTGATTGATGGACTTATGTGGACTTAACAAACTGCTTAAGTCAGCTCCATTTATATTATTGCAAGTGCTCTGGCTTGTGTAGTTGCATAATTGGGGATTTGAAGATGAGGAGTTTGTTATTAAGAATTCAGTTTTTGCCAGGGACTGCACAGTGCAAAAAACATTGCAAGTATGGCTGAATAAAGTGAGGAGACCGGCATATGGAGAAGAGACAGGGATGGATTCAAGTGAAGAGGTTCCATTCCTTCATTCACACATTTCACTCACACACTTGAGAAGGAAAATGCTGTTGTTTTATTTTGCACTGCAACCACTAGAAAATTATATGAGTTAAGATAAGGAATGCTAAGTTTCTGAGGAAGCTGTGCATTTTACATTGGGTAGCATTTGGCATACTGCAGTGCAATTGCGGCTTCAGAAATGTCTACATCTCTTGGAGATTTGTGTCTAACAGTATCAGGTCATCTTCTTGTTCCTGTTCCCATACCCCAGTTGACAGCCATGTCTTTATTACCTCACTTTACACCATCTAATGTCTGAAAACATTGAACAATACCAAGGTTTCCGGTAGCCCTTCTTCTTTAAGCTTCAAGGATAATCTGCATATGTATGGGTATATAAATAGTTTGTATGACTGTTTATTAAAAACTCACCAGTGCTGGATAAGATGGATAACCCCGGCATTTGGCCCACACAAGATCCAAGGCATCCAGAGGGGAGTCCTCGTCTTCGGACAGCCAGCCAGCCGATCGGCTGATGCTCTTTCGTACCACTGCACAAAGACAGAACAAGAGTGGAAGGGGGTCACTGCTATCCTTGCCAGCCCAAGTCCAGATACCAAGCAGAGGAGATAGCACCCAGATACTCACTGCCATGCCCCACACCTCGGCCAGTTCCCACTGAGTAAGACTCATTTTCTGTTCCTGATGTGTCTTCACTGCTGTCCTCCGGAAAGTTCACACGGGAAAAAGAAGGCTTCCCTCGGCCTTGTTTGGAGGGTGTAGTGCTAAGAGGAATGAAGCAGAATTGGCATCAATTTTCCATTAACTATATTCCATAGGAGCATGTGCCACAAAATAGCTGAGCCATGATAACTGAAAAGGTTATTCTCAGGTTGTAGCTGGGGAAGTAGTGGAGGAAAGGATGGCAAGAACAAGGCACTCCAGCAGTCCCACCACTGGGACTATTAGTAAGCGTGAAGGCTGTTTGCGTATCGGACAAGACTGGTACTTGAAGGACAGTGTTCCTCGTTCTCTCTAGCTACTCTTATCTGTGCTGGAGCCACTTCTCCAGAGCTGGGGAGAAAGGGGCACTACGTAATGGCTCTGTGCATGTACCTGGTGCGGTCTGAGGCAGCGCTGCTACTGCTGGTGCTGCTTGACTCCGAATCAGAGCTGCTGCGTGGGAGGTTGTAGTCGCTGCGATAAACCAGGAAGCTCTTCTTGACTGGCTGATTGCCGCTGCTGAAACCATTTGCTGGCAGGTCTAGACAGAGACAAAAAGGCGGCAAGGCAAATCAGAACAGGTACCATTCTAGATTCCTACAGCTGAGCTTGCCAAGTGACAACAGGACAATGGCTTTTTGCCTGGCCATGGATCTCGCCACAAATGGTGAAAACTGGATTCCATCATAAATGCATGGGATGCATATGGCTTTTATTTTAAAGGGAAGATACTTCTAATCATCATAGTTGCGGAGAAAATGCTTTGAAAAAAGGAAAGCCTTGTCAATTAACAATGGACTAGATAGGGCTGATAAGACGTTTATAAAGAGGAAAGCCTTCACTTTCCATATGCCCCTGAAATTCCCTACAGTTGATTTCTTTAACCATGTTTGTTATCCAGGACAAAAATCTAATCTAACACGGGCAGTACTCTCTTTAACAACCAGTGACCACTTTTTTGGATTCTGAACTAAATCTGCATGCACAATCTAATGGATACTATTTCCACAAATTAACTTCTCCCTTGGATATATGCAGGATTTGTAATAGACAGCTCTACCCCTGATAACATAACACAATGTGAAAGAAGATGGCCAGCATCCCTTGCTTATATCACAGAACTGTAAAGTTGGAAAGGTTCCAGAAGTCCACTGGGTCCAACCCTCTGCTCAGTGCAGGACTCTCAGTTAACAACAGAATGAACAGTAAACTCCCAGTTAAACCGTCCCTCTCAGATAACTGTCCAGTTGCAACTTGAATGCCTCTAGTGTGGGAGAGCCCACCACCTCCCTAAGTAACTGGTTCCATTGTCATACTGCTCTGTCAATCAGGAATTCTTTCCTGCTATCTAGCTGGAGTCTGACTCTGCAGTTTGAGCCTTTATTCTGTGTCCTGCACTGGGATAACTGAGAAGAGATTCTTTGCTTCCTCTTTCAAGTACCTGCAGAGTGCTATCCTATCCCCTCAGTCTTCTCCTCCCAAGGCTAAACATGCCCAGTTCCATCAATCTTTCCTCACAGGGCTTTATATCCAGTCCCTGTGTTGCCTTGCTCTGAAACCTTTCCAGCTTGTCTGCATCTTTCTTCAACTGTGATGCCCAGAACTGGACACAGTACTCCAAGTGAGGTCTAACCAGTGCTGAATAAAAGGGAACTAGTACTTCATGGGATTTGGGAGTGATCACTTCTCTTAATGCAGCCTAAAATAACATTTGCTCTTTTTGCCACCACATCACATTGTGAACTCATATTCAGCTTGTGATCCACAACATTTCCAAGAACCTTCTCACTTGCAGTATTGTTGAGCCAAGAATTCCCCATCTTGTAATGATGCATTTGGTTCCCTTTTCCTAGGTGCTGGTCTTGGAATCTGTCCTTGTTGAATTTCATTCTGTTGTTGTTAGCCCAGCACTCCAGCTATCAAGATCACCTTGAATCTTATTTCTGTCTTCCAGGGTATCCGCTATCCCATCCAGTTTTGTGTCATCTTCAAATATGATAATCATTCTCTGCACTTCCTCATCCAAATTATTAATAAAAATGTTGGAGAGCACTGGGCCCAGGACTGAACCTTCTGGTACCCCAATTGTTACCTCACCCAAGTGTGAGAAGGTGCTACAGATGAGCACTCTTTGAGTCTGGTTCTGTAGCCAACTGTGTTTCCACCTGATCGTTGTTCCATCTAGCCCACCTTTAGCTAGTTTGCTCATCAGGATATCACACGTCCTGAACTTAGCCCCAGTCTTCACTCACCAATAGGTGCATCCTCTGCTGATTTGTCACTGTCACTGTCCGAGCAGGAACTGGGCCGTGGAGTCCTCACCCTCTTGCGCAACCGTTGGGATCCCATGATGGGTAGCTGAGGGGGCCCCACAGGGCTGTTCCCGTGACCTGGAGCCAGCTGGCTGTCGCGATTCTTGGGTGGGCGCCCAGGACGTTTCGGGGGCCCAGCAGTCTTGGGATTCTTCTTGGAGAAAAGCACTGATGTTCTCCTGCCAACTTCATGGGCAGGGGTGGATGAGGAGTTGGGCCCAAGGCCTGGAATTAAGTGGTGGTATATACTCAGAAAAAGAACTTCACCATCTCAGTTCACTATCCCTCCCAGTCAAGCCAACTGAACAGGCCTGTTCTACCTGTTCTACACGGCAAGTGAACAGCTTTCAAACATGGCAACATTTTTAACTTCCTTTCAGTGAGTCTTAGATCTGTACATGCTGCAAGAGTCCCACTAGTATGAACGGAGCCCTGAGCCAACTCCAATGAAATATGTATATGGAACTGTGTTGTTAATTCTGAATAAATTATTTCATATTTTATACTCCATACTTTAACACTTTGGTACATCCAGTTCATCAACAAACAAGCCTTCAGAGATGCTGGGTGATATGCAATAGGTGTTTCGCCTCCACTGGTTCTTTTCCACAAGCAGGACCCCCGTTTGCTGAGTGTGGAAGTAGCACTTCTTGAAAGAAATGTGGAAATACAGAACTGAGCTGGCCCTTAGGTGCACCTT